TTCCGTACTATCCATAAAGTTTATTATGTAAATAATGTTGATGGATGCCAATTTTTTGGATAATTTTTTTTAATTTGAAGGATCTGCTGACTAACTGATCAAAGTCGGTCAAAACAGCTTTACGTCTTACTCACGAGGATTCAATTTAATTATTCAAATGAAAACAATACTTGCAAGTAATAAAACGTGAACCCCAATCTAATAAATCGATGACAGTCACGTAAAAATTCTTTAAGCAGTTTAACTAAACTTTTTGAGAAGATCAAATCGATTTCAACAACATATTTTCGAAAATGTGAATGCTTTTGAGCCCCGATAGCCTATTAATTTTAATGGTCATTCAAAAATAGTTCTTGCTTACAAAAAATAGTTTTGTTACAACAAACCCTCGAATAACATCAAACGTAAAGAGAACTCTTTAGTGTTTCAAATTCGTAATGCTTTTCACGAAACTACAGCCTGAAGGGAAATAATTCTGCAGAATTGTAATTCAGGAATAGTGCAGATCGAAGACTTGTGAGGAAAAACAATATTATTTGACAGATGAATTACTTTTTATAAAATCTACTTATATCCGTATGTGCTATAGAAGTATACAGTATAGAGGAATATTTAAAAGAACACGGGGCGAACCATCTAATGTATTTAAACTTATTTATTTTAATGTTGTGTCTGGGCTTGAAAAAAAAATACTGCACCTTCTACCGGGTAGAATCTAAAATGCTTCATCAGCAGAAAGCGGATGTCTGAAATCCAGAACTTGAGCAACATTTTCTTTTTTACATTCACGAATGAAACTCATGAACGAAGTTGAATGAATTCGCTTACTTTTATGCATCATGACCGTAGTGTGAAAAGAAATAAATTTGAGATTATCGTCATTCAATAATCAGTGATGAAGACAGAATAAAAGACGCATGAAATTCTGCCTGTGGGATGAGATCACAATTTTTTGACAAACTGTGCAGCCTGTGAAACGGCATTAAATATCTCCGGGTGGGACATTATACTTGCATTCGTTGAAATAGTGTCCTGGATCACGCCTACGGTCTATGGAAGAGTCCTTTTTATTTCACGGCATGATTAAAGATGCTTCAAAAATGTACGAGGTAAAAAAAGATGTATGCGAGTTCAGTCTACGTTGTTCTGACACATCAAAGCCAAATTGAAGCACTCTGGAAACAGATTCAGTGTTTAAAAATATTCCTCTCATCCGGAATTCGACTCAATTTCAATGCACGAATTTCTGTTCACCAGCTTTGTTTTTGTATTATAAAAAATTTAGTAGATTAAAAAATTAATCTAAAAAACCACGTTTAATTGTCATCAGTTTCTAAGCTATCCTGAAAGTTTCAGCTTGCTAGCTAGTCAGGAAATGAGCAAAATTTGAGTTGCAAAATTTGATCCAGACAAACAAATGGACAGGAAAGCGAGTTAATAAAAACGTGTTAAAAATATATTGATACTGTATTTCCCTTTTTTCTTTGAAAGTTGAAAAATGAGTTCATTTCAGTTGAATTCCAAAGCAAGGATGGCATGATTGTTGAATAACAGTATATGTATATATGGCCAGCGCAGATAATTTTTCAAAAATAATTTTGGAAAAGTCTGTCCGGCCATTCAAAATCTATGTACTGTGCAGCAGCATAGGCAGGAAATCAAAATTCATGGGAAGGAATGTCTTGAAGTTTCCGTTTCATTCATTTTAAATTCTCCCCTTGATTTCCTCATCATAAAAGCTTTATTTTCCGCTTGACAGCACTCACAAGGTTCAGAAAATTTCGCACGCATCCATTTGACACATTCCGACCAATCATAAGTAATTCATATTGTGGGTATAAAAATAAAGTATATCACAGTACATGGGATGGCATGCATAATGAATTGCCCTTTTTTTCAAACTAAATTTAATTGGCCGATGATGCATACAGGAGGAAGAAAATGTCCTACAGTAGCAGATGCAAATCCTTTGAGTTTCTCCTTTAGCATTTTTGCGCTTCGAGAAAAGTTCGGAGGAGTGTGATTCTGTGACATCGGTGATATGTTCTGTGGAAAGGCGAATGGGAGATGCTGGTATTCAGTATGACCTGTCCGCAAGATTGATTCGGATGTGAGGAGGAAAGAGGCTTTTCGTGTGATTACAGATACAGAGCAGTATGGCGGCTGCAGGAGAAACCACGAGAACGTCGGAATCTGGAAGCTCAAGACTGACGTACAGGGTGCTAGAAAAAAAACGAAGAAGAAGATTGTATCGCAGGCGATTCACCACTTTATTATAACAATGATTTAAAAAGCTATTAAACTTTTATTGCCATTATTTGAGAAACAAAATCGACATTATACTCGCCCTTGAGATCACGTGCATCTGAAAAACAAATTGGGTATACAGTAATTTTTGTTTTAAAAAAATATCCCCAAAATACCGCTGTTCATACATACTGTACTAAGTTTTTGCTTGAAATACAGTGAGACCCCCAGATGTGGATGAAATGGGTGAATGAAGATTGTCACCAAGTCAAAATGTCCCAAAGTTGAGTCTCATTTTCCCATAGATTCGTATTATATAATTTTTAATTGGTGTTTTATGGAAGAAATATTCTTCATAATTCCATGAAACAAAAATTTTTCCACTTGAATTTGATTCAGTGAATATCTTTTCAACTCAATAAGAACATTTATAGCATTGAATTGTGTACTTCTGTACAGTACATTTAAATGTTGGCATCTGTAAAAATAAGCATTCAAGTCACAAAGAGTGAAGGAAGTCCCTCTATGCTATAGGTAATTTCCTTTAATTAGCTGAATGGATGGTAAAATGATGGGAAAATACCAAAGAATTTTGTTGCATGGATCTTAGGGTTGGAAATATCTATTTCTTGCATTTGAGCCTAGTAAAAGTAAATTTTCCTGAAATGTATTGTTACTTTTATCATGCAATGTCTACATGTCAAGTCAGTGTCTGTATGTTGGGCCTTTTTTATGCCTTTTTCATTGAGAAACATATGTACCTATGTTGAATTGCCCGCATGTCAAAGTGTCCGCATGTGGGGGTCTCACTGTATGTCGTATTCAGAGCTGAACCCAAAATGCACAAGCTGCAATAATGATTCTGGATTGATTGTGAAATAATTTCAGCCTCCTTCGGAATACAGCTAGTATATCTCATTATGGGGATTATCCTATTCAATCAAGCTCGATTGCGTAAGAAAGTTTTTCTGGCGAAGAACATCTCGCAATGAAAGACAAATAAGATATTAATTTCCCTTTACAATAAAGGTTCTTGCAAAACATTTCTTGAAAATTCAGGATAGAAATCCAGGTTTAAAATGGCTTTAAAAGTTTAAAGTTTGAAGATCATTCCTGAAAATTGTGAAGGGGTTACGTACTGAAGTTTTTTGTGTGGAAAGATAATCTTTTTTTTTTTTTAACTCCACGCTTTTTATGAATGGCACGTTCAAAATTATACGTGTTACTTGATGATATCAGATCTAAAAATTATTCAAAGTGTTGAAAATATTCTACTTATGATTCACTAGTTCCCGTCGCATTCAAATTTCATGGTTGAAGATTTCATGCACGCCTTTATGATTTTTCAATTTATTTTAGGTTGTTGCCCTTAAACAACTGCAACGATGCAGTTGCTTTGAAATTTGATGCTCTTCATGGAATAAATATGCACCGTACATTCTCGTGCAATTTCCAACCTAAAAACAAGTTGGTGCAATTTCAAACCTGTTTGTAAAAAAATATGCAACGACCCTGAAATTAGCGCGGGGAAGCAGAAATTTTTGATCATTAATTTTTCTCTCGACATTTTTTCGAAGTCAATGTAATTTTAAAAATTGAAAAGGAGTCCCTGAAATATTCGAGAGTGCTTTCAGTTTCAAATCTGACCTTTTCTTTTTAATAGGGAACCCGTTTAGATTACACAAGCAAAGGCCTCGGCATCAGGGCAAAGAGTGTAGCAGGTATTCCAGTCACATCTTCTGCTCCTCTCCGCCACACAGTGCCGGGGTGCTGGGGTATTGGCTGGGAATTTCCTAGGGAGAGCCCGGGATTCGGGATTTCTGGAAACCCGACGAGAAAGATAGGGAGGAAGCACGGGGGGGGGGGGGGGGGGGGGGGAAAAATGGGAAATTATTTTCCGGTTATGAAANGGGGGGGGGGGGCAGAGACAGGAAACTTTCCTGTGAGGATTTACAACCAAGTGTAAGGAGTGACAGGATTCAAGGCGAACCCCCGATCTGCTGAAGGACACAACGGACCCTTTTTCCCCAACACCATCATCATCATCCAGACACGCATCTCGCCCCATGCATAGCTTCAGTACCTTCCGTACCAGCACCATAGCAACCCCCCCCCCCCTCTCTTTTTCCTTCCACTGAAACCCACCACTTTTCCCTCTTTATTTATTCTTTCTCTCCGCTTTTATCGTCTTTTTTTTTGTCGTTTTAGTTCGCTCAATATTTAGTCCTCCGCGCGCGGAGCAAATGATCCAAGCAATCTCGGGGATAGTTTCTTCCGGGGGAGCCACGATGAGGTCTGACCATGTCTCAGCGACATCTGCGAGAACAACTCGATATTTTTTCGTAATCTTTTTGCTCTGTCATTGACTGAAGACAAATTAGCCCTACCGAAGCCCAAAATCAAACCTATTGAACAAACGTAACACTTGTAACATGAGCCTGACAGGAAAGGTTTGAGTAAAATCTAGCATAGACGATTCAATTTAAACTGATCTCTCTTGAAGTCCAGAGAAAGATAAAAAATCGTTTGCTTTCTGTCACATATGTAACTAAGATAAAGAGGAATAACTTTTTAAGAAACCGATAAATCGTAATTCACGCAAACACGGAACTAACTACTGTACGAATGAGAAGGATGAAGAAATCAACTCTTGATTACGCGGAGAGAAAAATCCCGAAAACTAGTGCCATATTTTATTTTCTTTCATTACAAATTTTCCTGCGATTTTGTGCCGTACGCTTGATACGTTTCCCTATTTGAATTTTTGCAGATGAAGAGTGCAGAAGCTGGTTGAAAAATTCCGAGCTATTCGCGTCTCTCTCTCTCATCTCGGTTTTTATTACGTTTCGCAAAAAAAACGGGTTTCAAAAACGCTTTCACGCTTTGTCGTCGAAACATTTTTATGCGGATTTTCTGCCGTTTCCTGGAAAACGATTTTCTAAATTACGCCTTCGAGAGACTTGAAAATAAGTAGAAGAAGAAATGGACAGCCCGGACTCGTCCATCCCTTCGTCGGCGACGGGTGATGACACTTCGATCTCGACCAACAACGCTTCTCCTGACGTGCCACAAGAACCGACCCTGTCTTCGGGTACCTCGGGTTCTCTCGGGGTTCCAGACGGTGTCGAGCCGACCGTCAGTATAGACGACGATGTCGAACAGAGCCCGACGACCTTCTCAAAGAGCCCCACCACGAATGAGAGCCCTGACAGCTCCACTCATCCGCCCGACGCCGAAGACGTTCCTTTGAAGCCCGAGACCAGTTGCAAAGTGAGCTCCTTCAAAAGTCCTTGATTATATACCGAGTTCTTTGAAGATCTTATTGTGGAACTCTTGTTAATTGAGGCTCAATCAAAAGGAATTTCAAATATAGATCAAGTGCTCGCTTTTTGATCAATTCGAGATGAAGAAAAAAAACGAAACGACGTTTAAAATTGGAAGTCTTGCTCGCTTCTATAAGCGTTTGAATTTTGCTTGAAACTTCTTTGCGATTTTTAATATTGAGTTTGACACATTATTCATTACATTTCTTTCAGATATCGAAGGAAGCTAAACAAAATATTTTATTATTTATGCGAAATCGTGGAGCGGTATTCGAATTATGTTTCGGGTACTGAGTGCAAAGCTCCTATAAGTGAGCTTAAATTAATGAATACTCTGAATAATTTACAGAGCTGAAATTACATAACGGTAATCCATCACCATGAATGCAATTGATCAATCTTAAATTTTGATCAGGAGCAGCAGAAACAAAACAGAATTTATCATTCAAATTCGAAACATTACCTTCTTCAGAACTTACTCGGACGTTCCTTCCTTTTCTCTTTACTTTGTTTTTGTTTTTGTTGGGAAAACTACATTTGAATATATTTGATTTCAATCCTATGTGGGCATTTTTTTAGTAAAACCTAACAGTTTTAAATATATGACTATCCGTGATCAAATTGAAAAAAAAAATTCCGGGAACAGGATGCACTTCGAAATCTTTAAATATTTGTATTCCTGTGATGTGGAACTCCTCTTATCTGGGATTCAATCGAGAAAAAAAAAACTTGACAAGCCATCCTGAAGTATTAATCTATTATTGGGAGGAAAATGTGGCCTGGAAAGCCGTAATTGAAGAAAATCTTCATAATTACCGTCAATAATTTGTGATGCCATTCTATTCGGTGAATCAACACTTTTAGTCGTTTGTACATCGAAAACGGTTATCTCATTGCAGGTTATTTTAAATATTCAATGAATCCCTGATGCATAATTGGATCATCTATTGCGATGAATATTGAGATTTTCCGCAGTGTCAGTTATGAAGTTGATTTTCGTGTCGATTTATAATTCTCATTTGTTGTAATATTTCATCATTCCGGTGATTCAACCGTACTTTTTTTCTAATACAGTATGATATTTGGTTCACTTCTCTCGCAGTGCAATCTTTAAAAATGCTATGGCCCGAACGTAGAAATAGTTTTTTGCACCTTCCAAATTATCCGCTTCAATTATTCGATTTTTTGCTTGCTCAGATCACCGCCAGAGGTATTTTGAAGCGACGATTGGCTTCAGAATCGACAGACGATCACGGAGTTATTGACGAAAGAAGAGCATTTGAAAATGGATGCAGTTCCGGTGCTTCGCAAGCGAAAATTCCCAGGAAGAGGAAGCTGAACTTCAAGGATGTCACAGTATACTATTTCGGGAGAACGCAGGTAATTTTATTTTGGACATGGTAACTGAAATTGTTGACATATGAGAGATAGAGAGAACATGAAAGGCATTTCAAATTCCACTTGACAGGATTTAATCGCCAAACTTCCGATTTTATCAAGCGTTAAATCTCATATGGCCACTCAAATTACGACTCGTCCGCAATTTGAGCCTACTACTGCTGGGAAAATTCAAATCTGACACACATTCCTTGCTGTTTCGAGCATTTTCCGTGCTTAATAATATTAAAACAACGTTTCTTCTTTTTCAAAATGTAATGTTTCAATTAGCCATACATGCCCTCATTTGCATGATCAGGAATAATAATTGTTTCCAAACGTATTTTCTGAGCCCCTGATTCCTCGAGGTAAGCGATTCGCAGACTTGGAATGCCTGGTTCAAGTGCTGCATACATGTTATTATATATGAAAAGTGAAATAAAATAGAGCACGTTATAATCTAAAAGCTTGAAATTTGTAAATCGAGTGACTTGATTTATAAATATGTTCGTGCAGAAACACGATTTCACTTAAACGAGCCCTCGTTCATGATGATCATAAATTGTAGCACAGAAGAATTATGCATACGCTTGCTCGACAAAATGGAAAGAATGCACGGAATGAAAGAATAATGTCAAGAATAATTCAGTTCATAGCACAATGTAAGATAATACGAGGGGTGCTTCATAATGCTTTCGACTCAGTCACTTGCCGTCGTCGGAGGCGGATGCAATTTTTTTCTGTTGTTTATTGCAGATTTCAAGCTGCATTAAAAATATTCCAGATGCAAGAGACATCTGAGTGCTGAGGCAGTTATATCCAAGGGGATTTCATTTTAAAAGTTCAAAACTACATTATGGCTGCAGGAAATAAAAGAGGCTGGAGCATCCTCACTCCTTGAATGTTAAAAGAGGACCCTTGTTATTGTCTCTGATCACAGGTTTCATGAAGACAACAATCACACACACAATCAGCAAATACAATCTCGCATTGTGCAATAAAAACTCACTTTTAAAAAGAAAAATAAAACCAGCGAAGAAAAAATGCTTCGCCTATGGCGCAATTCCCGACGCGCAAACTTCCGAAGCAAATAACTCCGCGAATTTTACACTTATAAAATTTCACAATATCTTAAATTGAAGCCAAAGATGTTCTTCAACCTTTTTTGTATAATATAAAAATTGACCCAATTAAAAAATCGTGAGATATTCTTACCTTTCTAAACCTAACTTTTCTTTGGTGATAAGAATCTGGAAAACCTTCATGCCAGATTGTTATCTCACTGATGCACAAGCTTTTGGTGCAAACAGTGACTTCAAAGAAAAGTAAATTGATTTGGCATTGAATGACACTGTGATCAGAAAATAATGTTAATGTTATTTACTTCAGATATTGTCAGAATTCAAGAATCCATTGTCTCCTAATCAAGTTTGAGTCATAGTTAGTGTTTGTTTAAGGTGGTCCATCAATACATGTTCAATCTAGAAAGAGTTGCCCAAATAATACGAAATGATTGCGAAATTTGATTTACAGCATCAAAAAAACAATAATTATCAATTCCCACTGAAGGATACAAATGGATGCTTTCTTTGAACAGTCGTCATTTGGATTAATCATATGAAAGACAGGAATAGACACAAATAGCTCACGATACCTTTCAATATCTGTCCAGTTTTGCAAATTATTCAGAATCTTATCAATTCAATATCTTTGGAAATATTTTGCTGGAATTTTTGATGGCTGGTCGTGGTGCATTTCTGCTCCTTGGGTGAATATAGTGGAAGGCTGAAACGACAAACTTGCGTTTCTCAGAAATCACACAATCAGCAAATACAATCTTGCATTGTGCAATAACAACTTGCTTTCAAAAAGAAATAAAATCAGCAAAGAAAAGATGCTTAGCCTATTTGGTGCAATTCCCAACACACAAACTTTGGAAGCAAATAACTTGCAAATCTTACACTTAGAAACTTCCGCAACCTCTTAAATTGAAGTTGAAGATGTTCAATTTTTTGTTAATCACATAAAATTTAACATAATTCAAAAATCCTGAGATATTCTCACTTTTCTAAACCTAACTTTTCTTTGGTGATAAGAATCTGGAAAACCTTCATCCCAGATTGTTATCTCACTGATGCACAAGCTTTTGGTGCAAACAGTGACTTCAAAAGCCTTGTTTCTAAATTTAGATGAATGAATTTTTTTCTGCAACAATTGTTCTACAATGCTTTGACGCATCAAAAAAAAAATGTTGGCCCACCCACTGAAAAATATGTTAAATAAGAAACTCGCTTCAAATTATGTTACCCCCTCGGTATTTATAATTGCGAAGGGTTCTGACTCGGAAGTTCGAGTACCCTGGAAAGCTCTGTCTTTTGTATCCATTAATAAATTTCCGAATTCATCATATCATACGAATTTTTTTTTTTCACAGGGATTCACTTGTGTCCCATCCCAAGGCGGGGCCACACTTGGCATGCAGAACAATCATTCACACGTGGAAACATTCTCACTCGGGGACCACGCGAAAGAACAGCGCAGAGCGCACCTGAAAATTCTCAAAGAGCGCAGACGCATTCGCGAAATGCAACAGCGTCAACTGCAGCTCATGAAAGAACAAGAGATCCAACGGGTCAAATACCTGGCGGATATTTGTAACGCCGCTGCTGCAGCCACAGCTGCAGCAGGATTAAGCCCAGCTGGCAATTGTGGCGCATCATCATCATCATCATCATCTTTGTCGCTGTCGATGCATGATCCGTCGACAGAGCCAGTGTCACTCGCGACGAACTTCTCGTGTCGATTGGACGCGGCGGCGGCGGCGCAACAGCGACTCCTCGCTGCGAACGGCGGTCGCGACGAAGACGCCGAGATCGAAGAGGATATTGAGGAAGAGGAGCAGTTTGATGACGAGGCGGAAGAAGATTTGGAAGAAGACATGGACAATGACGAGGATGAGGATGAAGAAGAAGAAGATAACGACCCTGCAACCTGGAACTTGGACGTGAACGGGTTTGAAGAGGACCTCGAGGACACGTATTTCTTCCTTCAGGTGAGTTCCTATAATAGATTTTGACAAACTAACTACGAGACATGTTTGGTTTCCGAGCAAAGAAAATATTCCAAGACAAAAAACAAAATTCTTCAGTTTCTTTACACAAAAAAGTTTAAAACTGCGTCTGCTTTGTGGGCAGACGTAATTTTTTTTTAAGATATCCGCGATTGTTTCTATGAAATAAAAAAGGGAAGTTCAATTACAATTTTTTACTGAAGCAGACTATGTAAAAAGTATACATACGAGATTCCGTATGTTTGCAATTCAAAGAATTTTTAAATCCAAGAAAGAATCTCATAGAAATATAGGGGTAAATTTGAAGGGCTCCTGCACTGAATATTATTTCATAAACAGCTCCACGATGAAATTCTGAATTGAAAAGGAATTTTTGGCTCCTCAAATAAGGGCTGAGTTTTCTTTGCAGTTTTAAATGAACAGGTTACGATAAGTTATCGTTTCCGTTTATCCCACACGACTTTGCTAACCATCAAATTTCAAACATCAATGAATAAAAAAAATAACCAATTGTAACGATTCACACTTTTTTTCTCGGTGCTATTCTTTTCAGATTTTGAGCTACAGTAATGGTTTTTCGCAAACTAAAAGAGTTAATTCTACTGTGTAAATGACTTTGAAATTAATCCGCTGCGCATCCGCAAATAAAGTCACCCAACTGTGAATATAATGAAGATGAGGGTAACAATACAGTACTGCAATTCAATGAATTGGGAAGAGCCAAAGATTGTAAATACAGTATGTTTTAATTTAGCTGAAAACCAGACAGATTTTGTCCAATGCATGCAAAATTCTTCAAAGTTATTGAAACAAATTTGAAAACCGTACTGTATTTGATTAATACTACTGTACTGCATTTACTCGCGAGCCATGTGAAAGCTTTCTTTGTCAATTTGGAGAAAAAAACTCAGATTTCCGTCAAATATGCAGAAATTCCATACATTTTGTAAGATAAGCTAATGCTGGATTTTTGAAATTCCGTTTTTCGAACTTCGAAAATCCTTTTTCCTTTGAAATAAATGTCTAAAATCCTCTACATACGTCTCACTCAAGAGCAGAACACGTGAGTACGTGACACGTCAGCAAAGTAGTGAAATACTGTACAGTAATTCTATAAGACATGCCCTCGTGAGGAATCGCTTTTGAAGGAACTCGTTTTGTAAGAAAAAAATGGACGAAAAATAATCTAAAAATACTCATACAGAGACTTGTTCAAAAATTGTAAATTCGGAGCTGAATTTTAAATCCATCATCTCAATTATCTTTCAGCCTGTGCCGTCAAAAAGACGTCGAGCGTTGCTGAAAGCCTCGGGAGTCGATGAGATTGATTCCCACGAGAAAGAAGAATGCAGGTCGATTCGGAGTTCGCGAGAATATTGTGGCTGTTCTTGTCAGGGCGTTTGTGTGCCTGAAACATGTTTGTGTGCCAAAGCTGAAATCACGTGCCAGGTAAGGATTAATTTCGGAACAATTTTCTTCAAAAGATTTTTTTTAAATCTATCCGCATTCTGATCTATATATGCTGCTTATATGTGTTTTAGCAACATGCGTTGCTTGTAATCATTTGTAAATTCCATTAATATTTGCCTTTACGATTCCTGCCAATTTTTTTTTCAGGAACATTCGAGCGTTTTGCTCGACTGTAAGGTGGGAATCCTTTCATCTTGACGGTCATCATATAGATTTCCTTTCACCAATATACATTATTTCATCCCCCCCTTACGAATTTTGCCAATTTATTTGCTTGAAAATGCAAACGTTTAATTCGACTTTCAGATAGAAATGAGCGGATAACTTTCATCTTTATTGCCACAAACGATTCCTTTCACCACGAAGAACGTATTTCCTTCGATGAAATATTTAAACCACGCTCAGTACTGTATGTTTCAAGCCATGGAAATTTAAATAAGCAATTCCCGCTGCTCAAAATAGACGTTTTTCAATGCAAGACTTGAAGGATCGCATAAGCAATTGTTTAGCAATGCATCCTCCCAGAATATGCTGTTTTATGTGTTTGAATTTGTGTTTTCTTAGTGCTTCTTTTCTGATCGCCGCAATTTATTTCAATTGGGGCTACCTGAGAAAGAGATTTATGGACCGTTTAAAAATGGCTTGCTATATATTTTGAAACATGATCGGAAAGCGCTTCTTAAGAATTAAAAACAGTATATACAACTTTATTACTTGTAAGAAGATCAGATTCGAAAGTTTTTCAGTCGCTTACTCTTTCAGGCATTAAAAATTGAGTTGTTTTTTTTCACTCAAGTTCCCAATTCAGAATACATTACTGTACTCAGACCCTCTGTTATCGAAACCAAGAGTAGGAATAAGATATCCTCGAAAATTTTGCTGGGACGAGTATTCGTCAATTGCCTTCCGAGAAACTGAGGATTCTGCCAAATGCAATTGCAATCACGAGAGTTTTTATTTCACAACATATATTTTATCTCCACTTTCAGCAACACTCTCAAAAGAATGACCCAGAGAAGAACAGGGTTCTCATTGGAATGAAATGGTTGACAAGTATTTGACATAGTTTTGGAGGGATTTTCAAAATTTTAAACATAAGCTGTACCTTGAAGGGATGGTGAATAAAAAAGAAATTCCGATTATTTACCAGGCATTATTTGCTGACGTTTATATTAAAAGCACCATCAAAGGGTCCCCTCTATACTTAAAAATAAGTTAGTAAAGAACCTTTTTATCTATTTTTTAGAAAGAATCTGAAGGATTCTCGAGTTTCTAAAAATTTGATAATAAAATACTCTGTCAGTTTCTCAAAATCATGCCCACATATTTTTCAACCACCGAACATGCCTCCCATTAATGGAAAACCGGGCCGATTAAACTCATTAACGAACCTTCGTGCATTTTAAAAATGTTCGGAATTGTTAATATGACAGATATAAGGACCGCTTTTATTTATTTATTTTTTGATGCTACAAGGCTTGCATTTCTGGAATTATAATCGGATGCCATTCCTATATTCTAAAAATGCAGAAAGATAACGATGTACGCTGAACCCTTGTCATGTTATCACAAATTTTTGAAAAATCGAAGAAATTTTACTCAATGTTTCGAAATGAAATAATGTTTCCCCTCAAAAGGACCACAACTAGCAGCTATAGTAGAAGCATGTATAGACGGCCGAGGAAAAGCTAATGATGACCAACCCTCGAACGAATGTATTCATTTGATTACCCCGGGGAAAAACGAATTTAAAAAAGGAAATATTTAATCAGCATTCTTTACAGGTGGATCGTTTGAATTTCCCGTGTGGCTGCAACCGCCTGGGTTGCAGGAACCCCGCAGGCAGGATAGAATTCAACCCGGCTCGAGTCCGGAACCACTTCCTGCGAACCCTCATGCGGCTCGAGATGGAAGAAACCCAGTCGAAATACTTTGAAAGCCTCGCGAGAGCCTCTGCATCCAGTGGCGGCGGCGATGGCGGTGGTGGCAGTGGCAGTGGCAGTGGCGGCGGTGCTGCTGCTGCTGGCGACCAGGACTCGTCATCATCGTCGTCGTCGTCTTCCTCCACAGCGTCGTCTCCGTCAACGTCGAGTAACGCAGCTTCAGCATCCGATCAGCAGAACAACAGCTTTCTTCAAGCAGCCAGTCTTGCCAATCGGGTTCCTCAGAGTTGTTTCGTGCACAGCCTGGTTGCAGCAGCTGCTGCGGCGTCCTCGTCTCAGGCGTCGTCGTCGTCCTCGTCGGCGGCGGCGGCGGCGGCGTCATCAGCTGCTCTCAATTCGCTGGCTTTCAAGGCGATCATGCACCAGCATCATCACGAAAATTTCAGCTGGGCTCATTTCCCTTTCTTGGCAGAGGAGACGAAATCTGGCGGCAGTGAAAGTGGTGCTGTTGACCACTGGCAACAAAGTTTCGCGGATTACGGGTAAATACCGCGTTGGAATTCCCCTGCTTCGCGTGATGACTCCGGTTTTCTTGAGAGATCTAAAAGTCTTCGTCTTCAGTCGACCGGTTTTATCTCAATGGCATTTCACAATAATGCTGATTTTTTCCCCTTTTCAATCCAATCTCGTATAAAGTCAAAGCTCGTTCGTATGCTGTTACATGTGATGAAGAGGTAATTCACTGTCGGAATATGTCGCTTTTGTTCACAGCTGAAAATGCAAAATGGACTGACTTTAATAATCTTTCAGAGTTTAGCTGGGTTTTCTAAACGTTAGCGTATAATGCTCACGTCTTCAAATACAATGTATTATTTTTCGATGTATATTTCACACGATATCCATTTTTTCATGTCCCTTCAGAGTTCAAATAGTTTTCCCATCTATTTTCTTCCTGTAGCTGCCGAAAAAATTGAAATATCTCTGGAGAAATTTCGCACATTATGCCTCAAAAGTAATAAACTGACCATAGGTAATTTTTGGTATTCCGATCGAAGTAAGGAAATTTCCTCTCCCTGTTTTTCTATGCACCTTCAATTACCACAATGAAAAAAAATTTTGAAGCGACGAGACGAGCTATATAAAGTTCTTGTCAGAAATTTTTCTTTAAATTCTTCTCTGTGATGTTTCGGGAAACGGATTATACACATAGCGAAAAGCTTGAAAGAGTTTGATGATATTTTGAAACGGATCTTCCTACATTTTTGAGCATTCGAAGGGATAAACGTTGACATACTGTTGATGGCATTATTGAAATTTGAGCCAGATTTCCTGCTATAGAATGTTCTTCTTCGGGGCAATTTTTGCGTGAAAATGAATATACACTTACATTCACGACAAAGTTTATAATTTTTTAAAAAGAATAAAATAATTATATTAGATTAAAAAATTAATCTAAAAAACCACGTTTTCAAAAAGAAGCAGAACAACAGCTTTCTTCAAGCAGCCAGTCTTGCCAATCGGGTTCCTCAGAGTTGTTTCGTGCACAGCCTGGTTGCAGCAGCTGCTGCGGCGTCCTCGTCTCAGGCGTCGTCGTCGTCCTCGTCCTCGTCGGCGGCGGCGGCGTCATCAGCTGCTCTCAATTCGCTGGCTTTCAAGGCGATCATGCACCAGCATCATCACGAAAATTTCAGCTGGGCTCATTTCCCTTTCTTGGCAGAGGATACGAAATCTGGCGGCAGTGAAAGTGGTGCTGTTGACCACTGGCAACAAAGTTTCGCGGATTACGGGTAAATACCGCGTTGGAATTCCCCTACTAGCTTCGCGTGTTCTTGAGAGATGTGAAGTCTTCGTCTTCAGTCGACCGGTTTTATCTCAATGGCATTTCACAATAATGCTGATTTTTTCCCCTTTTCAATCTCGTATAAAGTCAAAGGTCGTTCGTATACTGTTACATGTGATGAAGAGGTAATTCACTGTCGGAATATGTCGCTTTTGTTCACAGCTGAAAATACAAAATGGACTGACTTTAATGATCTTTCAGAATTTAGCTGGGTTTTCTAAACGTTAGCGTATAATGCTCACGTCTTCAAATACAATGTATTATTTTTCGAATAGAGGTCTATTTCACACGAAATAAATTTTTTCATGTCCCTTCAGAAAGTTTTCCCTGTTATTTTCCTCCTGTAGCTGCCGGTAATAAATGAAATATCTCTGGAGTAATTTCGCACATTATGCCTCAAAGGAAATAAACTGACCAAAGGTAAATTATGAGCTTCCGATCGAAGTATAAGGACGTTTCCTTTCCATGTTTTTCTAAATGCACCTTCAATTACCGCAACAAAAACAAAATTTGAAGGCGCTGAGCTGGAAAGTTCTTGTCAGAAATTCTTGATTAAATTCTTCTCTTTGATGTATCAGGAAACGGATTATACCCATAGAGAAAAGCTTGAAAGAGTTTGATGATATTTTGAAACGGATCTTCCTACATTTTCGAGCATTCGAAGGGATAAACGTTGACATACTGTTGATGGCATTATTGAAATTTGAACCGGATTTCCTGCTATAGAATGTTCTTCTTCGGGGCAATTTTTGATATTAAAGCGGCGTGAAAATGAATTTACACTTACATTCACGACGAAGTTTATAAAATGGTCTACGCTATGACGAACGGGCGTTTCTTGAATAGCGACTTTAAAATTCGATGTGATAGCATCTCAATACAGTAAACGCTTTCAGAAATCTAAAAGTGAGAATTGAAAAAAACCTCCGACGCTGAGAAATTACAACTTTAATCAGGGCTGATGCGACGATACAGTATTTAAATTCGCAAAATCGACCGAGATTCATGTAAGTCAGCAGAACGCGTAAATTTAATGAAACTTGGCGAAAATACGTCTATGCCGCCGAAAGGTTTGGCATTTTAGCATTACCTGGATCAGAGTAGAGCTTCTGATTATCAGAAACTCTGAGCAGTCTGCGTTCGAAGCAGGAAATTATTAATTGAATTAAATTCATCAAGTAGATTATTGAGTAACAAATAAGTCAAGGTTGTACATGTATACAAAAGGAATATTAAAAAAAAAAAAACAGGGTACGTCAGGAACTCGAAAAACGAATCATGGTGCATCATGCTCCTGAATGGCAATATTATTTTTGCTTTGATGTCTCTAGTGAAAATCGTTCAAGGGAAGTACAAATGAGTCGAAAACCCTCTAAAAACGGTGCTATTACAAAACGTAATTCCTCGTGAATTCAAATACATTTTGAAAGCTACGTGAAGATGTGATAATGGGAAATCTGAACTATTTTTCAGGAGTTCAAGCAGCAGCAGTTATCACCAGCCATCGGCGGACTTCGCAGCTCTGTTCGCTACGCACTCCAGGCCGTATTTTTCCGTCGAAGCTCTGCCTTACCCACAAATCATGCCAAACTCCTCGTCTGAAATCTCCCCTATTCTCAACCAACAACAACAGCAACAACAACAACAACAACAACAGCAGCAGCAGCAGCAGCAACAATCCATGTCTATGCTTTCTTACCACAGTCTGCTGCGGAAACAAGACAGTTCTTCGTCATCAACCCCATCGAACACGGATCCGACAACCTTCAACCCAACGTCCTTGCATCCCGCGGAATTCATAACTTACAGCAACGATCAGCGAGAGGAAAAATTTGCAGATGAGGCAGTCGATGATAATTCTGTTACGAGCGAAGATCGGTGTCTGAAATCCATTGCAAATCCGGATATTGGCGACGAGACGAGCGATGAAGGGACGAAAGCGTCTCCAGAACACAGCAATGAAGACGATTCATCAAAGAATTCTGCGTCTCCCGAAGATTTCGGCGAGCTGATCAAGAAAAGCATGGTTGAAACTGTCTCCGCTTAATTTCCTTGAAAATTGACTGATACCGAAATATAAATGTTTTCGCGTATTGAACGAGAAAAAAAAAAAAACGTACCTGTGAGTCTGGGTATGGGCAAAATTAACCATTTTTCGCTTCATATCCTCGTGTCGACGATTCGTCGAATAAATTCGCAAGTAACTTCGCTTTTTTTTTCGAAAATCGTCGCTAAAAAAATTAGCAATGTGATCGGACCATTCCTGGGCGAAATGCGAAGTCATATCGGATTCGAGAGCAGTTCAACACTTAATAAGTAATCAATAACCTGAGCAATAATAAGGAGTGTTCATTTGTGTTTGTTTTGCTTTTTTTCTGTTAACGGAATGATTTTTATTTTGTGTACTTAAAATCCCTCCCAAAAAAAGAAAACAAACGAGGAAACTTTGAAGGAAGGAAGCAAGTGCGCAAAAAAAATGAAGAAACAATTCACCCGGTGCTGTTTGTTTGTTTTTGGGAAAAATCGAAGCGGATTCTTACAAAATCCGCGAATGTTCAAAAGAAACTTCGTGTTCAAAGTTCTACTTGTAGAACAGTGTACTTTTTATTTTAACCACGCGTATTTTTTTTCTGTTTGGCGTTTTATTTTCTTGAGTTTACGAATCCAAATTTTGGATGCTCGAGATGCAATCGTTTGCCTCGTTTTGCGAATTTGTATTCAATGCGATCGAGAGAAGAGGAAAAAATTTTTGGTTCCCGGAGCAGCGTTTTTATGCAGAAGCCTTCTTCCCGAGCATTTATTTTTACTTTTTCTTTTCGGCTTGCGTAGGTCTAAGGAAAAAAGTGAGCTTGCCTTCTTGAGAGCTTGTTAGGATATAGAATTCGTGCGAATTTTTCTGCGGTTCTTCTTTTTTTTTACGCCTGCAGTGACAGAGAGGAACAGTGTTGTTTTTTTTCCTTTTCATAGTTCAAAAATACAAAATGCTGCGTCGATGTTCTTTGTGTGTAGGAGAATGAGGAGCAAACGCGTGACTCCGGGTCGCTGCAAAGTTATAGAAGTGCAACGAGAACGATTAAAGAGCTGTTCTTCCACTGTTGAAATTTTCCTTTTTTTCGCGTCGTTTCAAAACTATTTATGAGTCATAAATTCAGGATTATCAAGAGAAATGACAGTGTCCCATTTCAATTGGCGAGAGATGGTCAAAAGTTCTGTGATGATGGCCGTGGATAATTTTCATGCAGTTGATGGGATATTCGGGATTTTAAAAAAGTTTCGACGATTGATTCAGTCACTCATCCAAAGTCATAAACAAAGTGATTGGGAAATCAACTTCTGAGCTTCAGATTTTATTTAAATATGAAAAGACATCATCGAACACACCGTTCTTTTAATTTAAAAAAGACGACTTAATCAACTTCCAATCGGATGAATAAGTCAGTATATACATTGCAAAAAGTTGGTTTATGTCTTGAAGAGTTCGTCCTTTTATCTTTTAAGCAATTTTCCTGTAAAATTGAATAAATCAGGTTAATTTCAACTGGTCTGAAACTCTGAAATGAGAACGAACTCAGATTCAACCCACTGAAAAAATCGGATCACAATGTGAAAACGAAAAGAGCTCCAAAATTTAAATCTTGAGTATTTCAAGTACAGAATTAAAATATCTCGCTTGCTGCGCTAATTTTCACGCGACAAATATTTAAATTCTCATAAGGTTAGCGTTAATAAAGCAAACAATTTTAAACTTCGGTATTTTTTAAGGATTTCAGCCATTACTTATAAAAGAAAATGTCAAATTATAGGTAATTTCACTTATTTCAATTAACGTTCGATTTTATCTTCAAGTACTGAATATCGTTTCGAAGTAATGCGTATAATATGGTCCGAGATGTACGTGATACTCATGCCTTGTATTAAAAATTAGAAAAAATATTTTAATTAAATTTATTAGAGCGGCGAAGAATTTCGAAGAGAATAAATGCCGTGGCGAAAGAGTTCCGATATTTGAACTCTTCATGCGCCCTAAAAATATGCGTATTCCTTTTAAATATTTGACGTTTAAAATTTCGTCCATGTACTAATCAATCAGGCAATATATAAATTTTCTATGGTAAAACGAAGTCGAAGAAATAATTCAGAAGGCTGAATTCTCGCGGGAGCGAAAATAAGAATAATGAAACAGCTCTAATTTCCGTACCCATTTCCACTTTCTCTTTTTATTTCATTCGTCCAACTCGTTATAATGATTAACGTTTTCCCTCATTTTTTTCCATTCGCCAATTAAACCCGGCTGTCCGTTCACGATCACACGATGCATCGATTGGCCGTGATTCGGCAATGCAGTCAAGTTCAGCAGCCAACTGACAGGCAACTTTTCAAGACGCCAAATTGATACACTGATTTTGTGTTATTTTTACGCTGGTCATTGGATTTTCGCACTGCGAGTTTCCATTTTAACACTGTACTGTATTTCGATTGGACAGCCGAGCTTGATATAAGTTGAAACTGAAAGTGCACAGTAAGTAACTGAGAGACGAATGAACATGCAGGCAGACAAATGAACGAACCAAAAAGGGAAAAAAAGAAAAAGGGGCCGCCTTATTGTAGTGGGTGCCGCCGTTGGTAAGTATAAGCGCTGGGTTCGACGTCCAGGGATTTTTTCATTTCACTCGCAAACGTGGCTAGTTTTTTGCTTCATATCAAATGCCGCATCCACACCGACTCGAAAAATACCGAAATGCAATACATTTTCAAACAAATGAACTAATATTTGCAGATATCTCATACGAGAACGTCGAGAACAGATCAATCAAGAATTGACATGAAGCTCGTGTATAATCGCAAAAATGCAACGCAGGCCTCAAAGTACAGTGCTGTAATAAATGTGCAGAAATTATGTCAAATTGAAATTTGGAAGTCTCCAGTCAATAATCAGCTCACTTTGAGGAGTTTTGTTCGGATTGATGCATTCGATGACCTGAAAACATCTGAGGACACACGTCGTGGGTGGAAATTTTTTAATATTTGGATAAAGCTAATTATTCTGGCTAAATATTCCATTAAAGGAAGTGTGTCCATATGTTGTGAAATAAAAATGGTGGCTGAAAAAAAACCGGATCATTTTCAAGTAAAGAAATGTTTCTGTGGTTTGTGAAACAAAATTTTAGAATTATTTGAAGAACCCTTTGCACTGGGAAAATAAAAGCTCCTGGGAATGAATAAACTCGTCAATAAAAAGAAAGCCTGGCACCTTATTCAGACCATCACTATAACTCAATTACTCTTATTTTTGGAACTGCCTAAAACGTTCTGAATTTTATAAAAATGTCATATAAAAATATTTCCATTGCCTTTGGTACCCTCCTGTAATTCTACCTGCGAAATCAATTTTCTTGAATTGCTCTCAAAGCAATGATCAATAATGAAAGTGTCAAATATTCCAGCTGATCGACCACCTGCTTTAAACTGTTTATCGCTTTTATCCGGCACAAACTTCGTGTAAAGCTTCCAGTGTTGTAATCCATCATCAAAATCATCGGATATAAGACGATAAAATCTTTTTACATCAAGGGCGTTGGAACTCTGCCGAAAATCGTTGTAATGGAAAACTTATAAAATCCAGAAGGTAAAAAATATTAAGATGAAAGTTTGGGAACTTCATACAGCTTATTCAATCAATAATGTTCTTTTAATGAGGTTCTTTAACACAAGATTCCGTTTCATATCAATGGAAAATTGTCCGCACGATCAGGTTCACCTAGAATGCAATTTGAATTTTTTTTATCTCAAAATTTTTAAAATACAATTGTTTCTTTGAAATCATTTGAATATTCTTATGTGTCCAACGAATAAATCGTCGCCTCGGCGAGAAACCCGCTTCATTTCTAGCCCCGAGCAGAAGGACGCGTGAATCACGAACGCGCTGCGCTAAAACAGATGCCCGACCGCCAAAAAGGTTTCTGTTCTCCAGGGACTTCGGATGTCGATGGACGCAAAAATTCCTATCGCCACATTCTTTGTGAAACCGCAATTTTTTAATTCCGAGGGCGAGAAAATGTTCCCCCCGGGGGCTGCGAAATAATCGAGTCGTTTGATGCACTCTTCGCGTGAAGTCAACACCATCAGACTATCGTAAGCTCAAGCGTGAATAAGTTCGTTCTTTATTGTTTTTCAGTAGAATGGTTTCGGAAAGTAATTTTTGTTTTGAAAAGGAAAGTGAATCCAGCAGTTTACGACACATGTTTCACGGTATTCATGTCATAGGCTCCTGCGAATCATAAAACGTTAATCACCTCTCAGTCACTGATGATCTCTTTTTGTCTTTGGTGAAACTTTCTATATTAGCGCAAATTTTGTGAACGATCTATTTCCGCACATCGCAGTGTTTATCACAAAACCTCAGATAGATGACGTGTTTTTTTATAAAACAGATTCAAAATAATTGAAAGGCGTTTTCCGAGTTAAAAATGTTTTCCTCCAGTGATCTGAGTAATTATGCTGCTGCGAAGTGGAACTGAAGAGCATTCGTTTCGTCGCAGAATGTTCTAGTACTTTTCTAAATTATTCCGTGTGCTAATTTCAAGGTGGAAAATCATAGTCTTTGTTTCCATTTCAGAAGTTGGTCTTCGGGTTGCTGAAAGTGCTTCGTTTTGTGCCAAAAGAAAATGAGGTATCGGTTAGAACATCGCTCATTATGTGCAGCGATTGTGGTGAGCCACTTTTTCCTCCAAGACGGTTTAATGATGAACATTTGGTTTTCCTTGCGAAGATTCGCAGTTTTGCTTTCTTCAGATGAATACCAGTTTACAGGATTTGATTCCGAAAGGAAAAGTAAAACGCATATTTCATCGTTGTCTCGAGTCTATAATTTTAATCGCCGTATGTGTGAGAATAACAGGTAATTATTTTGAAGAGGATGGCGTTAAAAAGTTTTGTCAGTGCTTTGGAATAAATTTGTCTGATGGGAAGGGGGAAGCCACATTTCCGATGTAGGAATACTGTAGTAAGATCACTTCAAGATCAATACTGTATAATGACTCTAAGACAAACTTTGCTCATTTGTGATGGTCTTTCGCTGAATTCAGTGGATTTTTTCTTGCTCGATAATTGACATCGTTGGGAAACCATCATCTTCGATAGATATTACATATAATGTGCTGAGATGAAATTCTCAAATTCTTTTTCATTCGAAAACAGCTGAGAAGCTATTCCTGATTCTTTAAAAAAAATTCGGGTAACACGACTTTCATGAAAAAGGTACGTGGCATTAAAATCTGATGTTCTCTTTGTGATTATAGGCGAAATTTCAACTTTTTTGCATGATTCATGAATAAATTGAAAAAATGTCTAAAAATATGAAATATTACGTCATAAAATTCCAAAAATCTCTATGCATTCTTCAAACGTTTAAATTGGAGAAAAAAAGTAGTAAAGAAAACTTTTCAAAAAACCCTTGGACATGGACTCATTGTTTAAAAACTGACATGAGCTTTTTACTATCGCAAAGCCGTTCATTAATTGAATTATAAAATGTCGTACACGCGCCAATCTGCTTTTTTCAGAATCGACAGAATTTTATGAAGTTAGTCCTCAAAATGGTTCTATACAAGATTGGAACTTTTTACAAAAGCTTTCCCCATTGGATTGAGAATAAATCGTCCATAACCTCTTCCATTATACGGATGAGATAAGAAGCCAAAATTGCTACGCAACAAAACTGATGCATCATTTACTCAAACAGGAACAAAAATTCCGAATGCGATAATGTACCGGTTCTTTTTCGTCAATTTAAAACCATTACCTCACATTTTCGAGACGAAGTGAAAGTTGCGAATCATCTCGCGATTATGTTCTCCATCGATCTACAGCACAAGCGGTATAACGAATAAGCGGTACATTTTAAACGTGGAAATAATTATGAACTACAATATAACGTGGAGCTATAGAGAACAATGTATATGGAGTATTTTCAAAAGCATTCGTGTGATCGCGGATTCTTCATGCTTAGAAATTGAAACCACTTCCAGGATTACTCAACTTTTGTTTACGTGATCGTCACGGAAAAGTGATTCCAAGAAAGCCTCACGAATCTCCGAGCATATTCTGCCATCTGTTGGGTCATTTTCCCGTCCATTTCCATAAGCTCGTTTAGGCCGAATAACACGTTCACTTCCTACACATACAGTCGGGTCTCAACTCTTGTTCAAATCTGGGAAAAACCGCTTGGAATTTTACTTCTACGCTTGAATATATACAAGAACTAAACGCAGAAATTTCGTGGATGTCGGAGTAGTACTTTTCCTCAGCCTCACCGGGGTTTTCATTCATGAATCCTCGCTCATTCTTCCGTCTCACTGGTACAGTAGTAATGTATACAAACGCATTCCGAAGCGATCACAATTTTGATAAAAAGTACTGTATATTCTTCTGACAATCGTTCATTACGATTAGTCTCTGGAAAATATAATGAAGTCGTTAATCTTTAAAGTTTTTTTCCATATTTATGATTTATCAATATAAAGTATGTTTTATTCAAAATACACTACTGGACATTTTTCCAATTTTACCTTATCTTTGCATCATCTCAGAATTTCGTTATGTGTATGGGGATTTCGCGCTGCTTTTTAGCAGCGTTGTCAAAGTAATAAAATGAATTGTGCAGTTGAAAAGCAAGAGTGAAGAGGAATACGTTAATCTTATAAAGGATAATGACTCACATCAATAATACATATGCTTCCATCAATGATAATTTCATTGAGATATACAACAGCTCTTCTAAAATCGGGAATCAAATGCACGAGTAAACTGTCGCGTTTTATTCTAATTTTTTTGAAAATGTGATTCACTTTCGTTGTGAAGTTCAGATTAAAATATTCACGGGTATAATGGAAATGTGAGGTACTGTAATTTTTGTAAGGGGTCATGAAATTCTAATGGTGATGTTTGATCGGGGGGGGGGGGGGGACGGTAGAAGAAAACAGAGCGCTTACACTTTTACTGCGCCCGAAAATGATCAATTCGAAAAAGGCCTTTTTGGAAGTGGAACTTGGAGGAAATTGGAAATCTTTTTGAATGGACAGATGATGTCTGAAATTATAAATTCTGTGAATATTTTTATCGGAGTGATGATCCTAGTCTAAGTACTGTATACGCAAGCACAATCCATCTTCAATTCTCAGTTGGATATTTTGTTTAAAAAACATTCTGTTCATTTGAATAATTCCGGTTGCGGGGTAGAAGTCTGTAGTATTCAACTTAGTATCTATGGTGAATTTCAGAAAATTTATTTTACCGAATATAATGAGCTTTAGAACATAAAAAATGCGTGCTTACCTCCTTCTCATTTCAAGAAATTTGACGGAGGCACAATCTATACAAGAGCTCAGGTCATCTAGACAAATGAAATCAAACGGAGTGATTTCAATTTGCGTTTAAGTTACAATTTTGGAAGCGTACATTAAATTATTGTTGGGAATTTAACTATCACATTTTCTGAAAAACAAAGCAAACATTGAAGTCCAACGCAGTATAGGTTGAACTATCCGAGCACATAGTGACTTTAGAAGTAAGAATCTATTCTTAGCTTCCAAAAATGATTTGTATTTTTGAAAATATTGCGTTTGAGGAAACGTTTCTTCGTAGATCATGCCTAACTCAATTTAAAATTTCAAGAGTCATCGGCGCATGGATTGAACTGGAATTGAATCGCTCAAGAACCTCTCTTCGTTCTTACAAATACAGTAAATAATCCTCAACTGCAGAAGAAGCACTCTCGACATTGCTATTCAAAAAGTGACCAATTGAGAAATTTCACCGAACCTCATCTTTCAAACTTCTTCATATAAGAAAAACAGGTGTTGTAATTTAATCCTTTTCAAGATCAAACTATTAGCATTCTATTTATTTTATTTTTCTCTCACCGCTGTTTCATATCCATAATTAAAGTACCCCACCGAATCCCGTTATAATAATTCGGAACCACGTCACACATAAAAGTGCTCATTCGTCAGTTCTTTCCAAATCGATGGGGCGTCAGGAATTTGTCGTGTCTTTGGTTTTCGACTTTTCGTTAGAAAGTATATGCGTGATGAATTTCGGGGACTGCGGCGTGAATCGCACGTGGAAAAAAGGCGTCAGAGACGCCGTCGTGTCCGCCTTCTCCTGCTGCTTTCCGGCGTCTCATTAATTGCAGCACCGCACGCGTTGAAACATTATTAACATTTCACTGCCCAACGTGACATATGTGTGCCGCCATCATCATTATTCATCGTTTGTCGCTGCGTGGCGCAGAAATTCGACGAGCGGAAAATTATTGCCGAGAGTATATAGTCATTTAGTCTCCGGCTCGTTTCTGAAAGTATTTTTCAAGATGAGCGTAACATGTAAGAAAGAAAAAAAAAAGAGAGGTGAATTTGCTGCTTGGTCGAGATTAAACACGACGTATGAAGTTCTCATTTGTCACTCAAGTTATTTTACTCGAGGATATGCTGTGAAAAACCTGGGATGATTAGGCTGTGATTCCCGTTATCTGCAGCAGAGTCGTTGATATTAAACATTTTTCTTCGTTCTCAGGGTTTAAATACTGATTTCACGTGAGTCTTGCAAATTTTGGAACCCTTCAAGGGCTTGATGGTCTAGATCAGAAACAACGCATAAGAATCTTATTTGTCAATTAACTTATTTCATTTGCCTCGAGCGTACAAGTATGTGAACAACCTCGCTTATGGAAGTATTTTTCAAGAGCTAAAATAAAAATAAATAAAAACAATTGAATGTGAAGCTCAATCGAGATTATAAAATACAACATTATATGTCAAGTTAGTTAATTTTACTTGAGGATATGTGAAAAACCTGAGATGATGAAACGGCTATTTTCGTTTCTGTGTAGCGGCAAGAGTTGAAATTAAATATTTTTCATCATCTCAGGGTTTCCTATAGTGATTTCGGATGAGTCCTTCAGAGAATTTTGGAACCCCTCTATAGGGCTTTTCAAGATCAGAAATGAAGCATAAGAATCTAAGTCGTCTCGAGTTATTTCATTTCCCTCGAGGATATGTGAGAAAAAACTAGAATGATTCAATTGTCATTTCCGTTATCTGTGCAGTGGAGTTGATATTTCATATTTTTTTCCAATCTCAGGGTATACTACTGATCTCGCATGAGTCCTCTGCAAATTTTGGAACCCCACAAGGGGCAGCTGCTGATCCCAAATCTGGTTCCGTGGGGCTTCTAGAAGAAAGGCATAACTTGTTTCAATCCCCTTTGTGGGATGCCGCTGAAAACGACTTTCGAAGAGCTGCAAGCAGAATCGGTAAGCCCCAATTATTCTTTCTGAAACACATAGGTACAAAATATAAAATAAAAATATACAGGGTTTATAAAAAAAAAGATTACAGTGTATCATCAAATGCCATTATTTCAAGAAAATAAACCTAACCGCGAAATATTTTCATCCAATGAGCTTATAGATATGAGACAGGAAACCTACCGTTTGCAGTAACAGAAAATATAAAATTTTCCTCCACCATCGTGAATATAGGAAGTAAAGGATAGTTATTTTTCTACCTTTAAAATATAAATTTTTGCAATGTGGAAGTACTGTAGCCATTTTTAAATACGTCGAACAATGAAAAGTATTCAAAGTCCTTTTTCATTATCAAGCGAACCGCTTCAAACTTTTCCAAAAAGAACATGACAACTATCGTACTTTTATTCTGCCTTCGATTGCGCGTGTTTCTCGACATGACATGCAAATAAAAATTAACATAAAATGTGTATTATTCGAAAGGTAAGTGGATAAACTTCCATTCGTCCGAGTTTACTATGTATAAGACAAAACACTACGAGGATTTAAAATTTCGTCGAACTGTTTCTTGTCCAACTTCTATTACTCTCAGAATCAGCGCAGTTTCGACTTCATTTATACTGTACCGGACTAATTTATTTTTTTCGGCCAATCAGTGGGAACGAACTTTTTGCTGTACGATCCGATGCTGGACACCAATTACAAGGATAAATTGATGAAGGGAACTGAACAGGTTGCAACCCCGGAAGACAGTTTCCAGCAGGGCAATCAGGTGGCAAACTACGAATACGATACCGAAGACGGCAATAATAATTACAAGGATTCCGCTGGCGGTTACGACGACTCGTCATCAAACGCGTCTCCATCGGAAAACTACTCAACCGGCTCTGGTCCAGTTGCAAACAAGAATACGCCGAAAATGACTTATTCTTCTCCTGTTCTTTCGAATCCTGTGGAACTAGTGACGAGTCAGCCTTTGCCGTTGGAGCCCTACAGCAACAGCAATCATTATAGCTACAACTCCGGGCATCATTCGCATCCCGGGAGTAACCAGCACCAAGGACCGATTCAGCAAGAAGCAGGTTTGATTGCTCTCATTGCCCGTTTGAGGCATTATTCCTGTTTGTACAGTTATTATAGGAATTCGATGAATTGAAGCCAAGTTAAACGTATACTGTATTGTGGAGCCATACGTGACTACGTGAGCGACATCTGCCCGATGATAGATAACTACGCGAACTTGAGCTTTCGATCGCGGACTCGCGCGATAGGTTGAGCTCGGAATTTTTTTTAAACATTCAGTAAAGGAAGCAAAATGGCGAGAAAAATCCGCCAAGAGTCAATTTCTATAAGTAAAGCTTCAATCATTGACAATTTGTTCACATGATGACGATATTTCACAATACTGTACTGTATTCACAAAAATAGAATCTCAGAGCTAAAATTGAAAATATCTGATGAAATTTTATTTGAAAATGGCCCATCATTAAGGTCCGTGAAATCTTGCGGTGTTGGTTGAATGATTCATTAAACCATATGTGAAATTGTTTGACGATGGAATTGAAACAGCTAAATCCTTCCGTTTTTTTTTTTAAGAATCCCATATTTATGTACATGAAAAACGGAAAAGTTGTGCTCCTTACTTCACCGGAAATTGTTAATTTTCCAGAGCATCCCACGATTGTCATCAGAAAGGCTATCCTGACAGCAACAATCAATTCCAGTGAAGCAAAAATAAATTTTGAGTTCCAAATGCGGCCTAAAAAAATCTATCCTCATCCTTCACTTGAACAAATATTCAAAATACTGTGCATAGAAAACAAACATTTATAATCGTAATGCTCAAAGAAAGTTGTGGAGTTGTATGATTTGAAGTTATGAAATACTGTACTGTATATACAAACCTTGATAATAAGCTGCTTCTACCTTTTTTTGTGGTATTTGTGGTGATTTAACGCGGTTGGTGGTTTGAGGTGAGTTGGTGGTTCATCATAAAAATCGAAATTATCTGAAAATTGAGGATATTGCAATAAGAAATTAAATTCTAGTCCTTTAGGAACAGAAAAATTAAGATGGGATGCATTAATTATATCTATAGATAATGTTCCCGAGAGAAGTGAATCGTGTCATCTTGCTATTCCTTTTTTTCATTTGAGACCTGTTGCAGAAACTAAATTTGTTTCGGCTGTATACATTGAAGACAAAACTAATAGAGAGGAGCGTATTTGGACGCCCAATAATTTTTACGGATGGTGTTTCAATAACGGGGTTTGACTGTACTGTATATCAAATTATGATCAAAATCTTGACCTGCAGATTACCAACAAGAAGACTATCGAACTGAAACCGGTTCAACTGACTCACCAGCAGCTGATGCACAAGAACAGTCTCAAACTCAACAAAACAATCAGAATCAAGAAGCCAGCGATTCCTTGGCGAACGACGGTAGTAATGAGCAAGACGCAAATTACAACTACGACGATTATTACGCTCAAGCCAACGACGGGAATCAAGATGATGAAAACGAGAAAATGCCATTGATTCAAGAACCACCAACAAAACAAATCATGCAGGAACAAGCCAATGGCAGCGACAAATCAAGCAACGACAACAACAACAACAGCGATGATCAAGAAGAAGAAGAAGAAGATCCCCCACTGAAAAACCAAAAAAATAAGTTTCAAAACTCTGATCAGAATAACAACTCGGCAGATGAAAATGATGATGTCGACGAAGACGTGAAGCAAGGAAACAAGAATAAAAAAAAATTCAAAAAGAGACCAGTAAAGAATCAGCAGAACCAAAACCTGGTCAATATCGCCAACATCAATGACGAAGAAATCGACGGGCTTCAGCAAACCGACGACTATCCCGAAGTGGAAGACGTGAGAATCCCGATATTAAACGACGAGGAAGATGATAATGACAGCAAAATTTTAAACCAAAAGAAGTCTGTTTGGTGGATTTTGTCTGTTGGGCGGGAGGAAAAAATGCTTGCAGAGCTGGTCTGTTTGGCAAAAATCCCTTACTTGGGAGGTCTGTTAGGTGGGGGGCCACTGTATATCAAATCATGATCAAAATCTTCACCTGCAGATTACCAACAAGAAGACTATCGAACTGAAACCGGTTCAACTGACTCACCAGCAGCTGCACAAGAACAGTCTCAAACTCAACAGAACAATCAAAATCAAGAAGCCAGCGATTCCTTGGCGAACGACGGTAGTAATGAGCAAGACGCAAATTACAACTACGACGATTATTACGCTCAAGCCAACGACGGGAATCAAGATGATGAAAACGACAAAATGCCATTGATTCAAGAACCACCGACGAAACAAATCATGCAGGAAGAAGCCAATGGCAGCGACAAATCAAGCAACAACAACAACAGCGATGATCAAGAAGAAGAAGAAGAAGATCCCCCACTGAAAAACCAAAAAAATAAGTTTGAAAACTCTGATCAGAATAACAACTCAGCAGATGAAAATGATGACGTCGACGAAGACGTGAAGCTAGGAAACAAGAATAAAAAAAAATTCAAAAAGAGACCAGGAAAGAATCAGCAGAACCAGAACCTGGTCAATATCGCCAACATCAATGACGAAGAAATCGACGGGCTTCAGCAAACCGACGACTATCCCGAAGTGGAAGACGTGAGAATCCCGATATTAAACGACGAGGAAGATGATAATGACAGCAATGACAATAATGACGACGACAATGACAATAATGACAATAAGTTCAACGACCCCAGCCCTTATTACCGACATCATCAACAGCAACAACAGCGTTTTCGACGGGTAAATAACAAAAACAATAACAACTTCAACAACTTCAACAACATGAACAATGTCAAGATCCCGGATATCGAGCTTGACGACGACGAAGAAGACGACCAGGCCAAGATTTTCGACAGTTTGAATCAAAATGCTGGTTTTGGTCTGATTTCTGACCCCTTGGAAAGTATTCCGGTTCCGCAAACAATTAATGAGACACCTGAGTTCGATGACGACCCGACTGCAGTTTCAGCACCTGATGATGACATTCTTGAGTTCAAAGTGTCCGATATGGGTAAGTCATTAACAATCTGATAATTTTCTTTTTTTCCAATAAAGCGTGCAAAAAGAAAATCCTCCGGCGTTTCGTTGAATTTCCGATGCTCGAGAGTTATTCTGAAATTGACAATTTTTCAGGTAAAATTCGACCAGGACTTTTCAAACCGTTTTTTGCGTTGTAAGAAAACAATCATGTAACTTATCTCTGGATTCTATGGTGAATAGAAAGAAACTCCACGTGAAATTTTGTCAGCTCTGCGGCTAATTTTTTCTTCATTTCTCACTCTTTCAATTAATTATCTGATCTGTTCTGGGATTAACCATTTTTCGTTGATCAGCTTCAAAATTGCTCTATACAGGAATAAATAAATGTTGCTCTTGGGCACAGCACCCTCATGCATTTACCAAAAAAGAATTTAAAAATCAGATCTCTTTTAACTACTGTAGCTGATTTGCTGATCATCAAATCATGCCGATCAGCAAGCGAAATTAAGTCATGATTTTGAGATAAAGATGATTTTGTGTTACTCTCAGAATCACTTTGAAGTTCTGCCAGCTACTGCTCTCAAATGACTTTTTTATTTTTGGCCCCTTGAATTTTATTGCACACATAGTCAACCTGTCATACTGGAAACAGTCATAGTTGAATCTTGTTACAACATAATGGATATCCTGAAAAAGATTCGTTGAAAAAAAGAAATTGTTGAAACGAAATTCAAAGAGTATTGTGGCTATTGCACAGGGACCGGTAAAGCAAATTCCGTGTGAGCACTAATTCGTTATAACGAGATTCGTTGTAACGATATTCTACTGGAGAAAATATACTGGGCATTTCTTCCTCAATGCACTTGAATCTTTTCATCTAAGCTTGTCGTCCTTTTTTTCAAGTCTTGCTATAAAGCAATGATGACCTAACTATCACCTAACCAATAGTAAAAAAAAAAAAAAAGGATGTACCGGTATTAAACGATAGAACGTGAAATCACAATTGTTCATTTTTATAAAAAGGAAATAGCATAGAAGCCATAGCTTATGAGGAGTTTGACACTCATTTTTCTGTGACGTTCGAATTTCTGTGACGTTTTTAGTGACGCTCAGATAACTGTGAAGCATTCGAAGCTCACGGTTATCCGTGACGCATGAAAAGAGTCAAACAGGCCTTTTTCCGTCACAATGAGCCCGAAGATAAGTGTGCCGTGCGAGCTGTAGTCCTTCAAATTAATAAACGTTCTCTGTTTTAAAAAGATAAATCAACTGCTCCTCCTTTTTTTGTAATGTACCGAAAGTAGATCAAGTCGATGACAGCAACGAAGAGAAGAAGAAGAACAATCGGCAGCAGTCGTTGCTCTGGCGCCTGAACCCGTTGCGCGGTTTCCGGAGAAGACCGACATCTTCCGACGAAGACGAAGACGACGCCGAGAGTCGCATGCGTGCCCGTCGTAGACAGGCCGTGAACCAGAGGCCGCTGCCAGTCCGTCAAAGCAATAAGCCGCCGGCATTGTCAAACTCTAAATCTCAGCAGAATCAAATCAGAAGACGACCGCCGACCCATCGGGGTCNCGACCCGACTGCAGTTTCAGCACCTGATGATGACATTCTTGAGTTCAAAGTGTCCGATATGGGTAAGTCATTAACAATCTGATAATTTTCTTTTTTTCCAATAAAGCGTGCAAAAAGAAAATCCTCCAGCGTTTCGTTGAATTTCCGATGCTCGAGAGTTATCCTGAAATAGACATTTTTCAAGTTAAATTCGACCATGACTTTTCAAACATTTTATGTGTTGTTTTGTTTTTAAGAAAACAATCATGTAACTTATCTCAGGATTCTATGGTGAATAGAAAGAAACTCCACGTGAAATTTTGTCAGCTCTGCGGCTAATTTTTTCTTCATTTCTCACTCTTTCAATTAATTATCTGATCTGTTCTGGGATTAACCATTTTTCGTTAATCAGCTTCAAAATTGCTCAATACAGGAATAAATAAATGTTGCTCTTGGGCACAGCACCCTCATGCATTTGCCAAAAAAAAAATTTTAAAATCAGATCTCTTTTAACTACTGTAGCTGATTTGCTGATCATCAAATCATGCCGATCAGCAAGCGAAATTAAGTCATGATTTTGAGATAAAATGATTTTGTGTTACTCTCAGAATCACTTTGAAGTTCTGCCAGCTACTGCTCTCAAATGACTTTTTTATTTTTGGCCCCTTGAATTTTATTGCACAGATAGAGTCAACCTGTCATCTGGAAACAGTCATAGTGGAATTTTGTTACAATATAGTGGATATTTCGAAAAAGCTTCGTTGAAAAAAAGAAATTGTTGAAACGAAATTCAAAGAGTATTGTGGCTATTGCACAGGGACCGGTAAAGCAAATTCCGTGTGAGCACTAATTTGTTATAACGAGATTTTTTATTACGATATTCTCCTGGAGAAAAAACTACTCCCTTACATATACTCGGCATTTCTTCTTCATTACAGCACTTGAACCTTTTCATCTAAGCTTGTCGTCCTTTTTTTCAAGTCTTGCTATAAAGCAATGATGACCTAACTATCACCTAACCAATAGTAAAAAAAAAAAAAAGGATGTACCGGTATTAAACGATAGAACGTGAAATCACAATTGTTCATTTTTATAAAAAGGAAATAGCATAGAAGCCATAGCTTATGAGGAGTTTGACACTCATTTTTCTGTGACGTTCGAATTTCTGTGACGTTTTTAGTGACGCTCAGATAACTGTGAAGCATTCGAAGCTCACGGTTATCCGTGACGCATGAAAAGAGTCAAACAGGCCTTTTTCCGTCACAATGAGCCCGAAGATAAGTGTGCCGTGCGAGCTGTAGTCCTTCAAATTAATAAACGTTCTCTGTTTTAAAAAGATAAATCAACTGCTCCTCCTTTTTTTGTAATGTACCGAAAGTAGATCAAGTCGATGACAGCAACGAAGAGAAGAAGAAGAACAATCGGCAGCAGTCGTTGCTCTGGCGCCTGAACCCGTTGCGCGGTTTCCGGAGAAGACCGACATCTTCCGACGAAGACGAAGACGACGCCGAGAGTCGCATGCGTGCCCGTCGTAGACAGGCCGTGAACCAGAGGCCGCTGCCAGTCCGTCAAAGCAATAAGCCGCCGGCATTGTCAAACTCTAAATCTCAGCAGAATCAAATCAGAAGACGACCGCCGACCCATCGGGGTCGTCATCGTCCCGAAAGAAATTACGTCCGGTTCGACTTTGACAATGACAAGGAGTTCGACGATGACGACGAGCCCAAAACGTCGAGCTTCAGAAGGCCTTCGTCGTCGGGACATCCGGCCCAGCAGCAGCAATCTTCGCGTCGTCGCGCTCAGCCGATCCGACGATTTTTGCGCAACCGAACGAGTTTCTTTGGCAGGAATAGAAAAACGGGGAATCGCGGGAGATTTTTCCAGGTTCGCGGTTGAAATTTTGAAAACAGCGCAAATCCATGTTACACTGAATTATTTGTTTTCTCGATCCGAGGCGCCACTTGTTTCGAAGGCAGCTAGTCGAGAGAACAAAGTTGTTGAGGCTTTTTGTTATTTGTTATGCCGTCCTCTGTAACTAGTTTTTTTTTACACCACAACTGCCACGGCATGCGATTGGAAATACAAAACAGAAATTGATTTTTACAAATTCAAAATGCCATAAATCACGAAGTATGAGTTGAAGGAGTGGACAGGGGTCAATAAGTTGATTCATTTTGCTACACTTGTTTCACTTAAATTCATGTAAGTTTCCATAAGTAAGTTAAGCTTTGGTTATACAATTTAATCACAAAGTCTTCCGAGGCTTGAAAAAAAAACAACTTAAAAACAACAAAATTAAGTTACTGATAAGTTATTTGGAAAATTCTGGACGACACTACTTCTACAGACTTCATGTAAAATGGCATGGCTTCGGAGAAAGAGTTGCGTCATGACGACAGACAGAAATCCTCATTTAAAATTTTGACTTTCTATCGGCTGGTATAAGTTCTTCAGAATTGCTGTGAGACAAATACTCTTTAACCAGAAGTAGATGATACAAAATTTTTCAGCCGCATTTCGTAAGAATATGAGAGCAGATGCTTGTTATTATGCTCATCTTATACCAGGAAGCTACAGTAACAAATAAGCAGAATGTTTTCTTCTCGAAAATGAACCCACTATCAAGTCTGGCAAAAGTGCAGCAGCAGATGTTAGCAGACGACGTCCAGATGGTGCAACAAGACTTTTAATGCATGTAGCTATTGTTACTTTTTCCGGATTTTTTTTTCCTGAAACGCATTTCCGTCCTAATGATCAAATGCACGTTTTGCGGACGAAACTGAGAATTAATTTTCAGGATCCACTCAAATTTTCTTTGATCTTCGTCGTAAATTTAAGAATAACTTGAATTAGCTGGAGAGTGAAATACAGTATTTAATCTGAGGTATTTTTTACTTGCCTATTACGTGGAAGTATCTGGAATTTTGACAACAATGGAATTTTAAAAATCATTGATCACACTGACCACGCTTTTCGGATGTCACATGGCAACCAGAAAGCTTATGAAACTGAAAATCATTGTGTTCGACATAAAGCTATACCTGAATTTAAGAGGAGTTTCAAATGAACAGCAATATTAAATATTGAAGCGTATTATTGCTGAATTCATTTCGGCTTAGCAAGTTTTTTTTAGAGAATTATCTTACACTCAGACGCGCAAGATGGGGCAAAGGAAAGGACAAGAATTTAAATTAATCTACTCAATGCTCGAAATCAGTTCAAGAAGTCAATTCAGCAAAGTACAGTATACAGTACTGCAGTTGGATTTGGCATTTGTTTCCCGCGCAAAAAGATCAATCCCAAAATCCAAGGTGAATTTCTCCATGGAAAACGTGATTGTCTATAGATGAACATCATTCAATTTTCAGAAAAGATACTTCGAGTGTTTCAGGCTTATTAGCAGCATACATTCTACATTTCAACACTGAGCTAAGCAGGATTTTCAGCCTGGAAAGGTTGGGTTGTATTGAAATCAGAAGTTGGAAACATGGCTTGGATGCAGGTAGTACCTTGCAATTCAACCTCCTGCAATTTGACCATCCCACAATTTGACTGTCAAATTTGCAGGGAGGTTCACTTGCAATTCTAACCCTTGCCCTGCAATTCAGGGCCACTATTTGGCCACTATTCTTGCGTATTTTTTAACTTAAATTTTTAAACTTCATGGAGTACAGTTTCTCGCAATTTGACTAATTCGCAATTCAACCCTTCCGGCAATGAATAAGGTTCCAATTGCAAGGTACCACCTGTATAAACATAGGTTGAATACGCATTCAAATGAATTCGTACTTTCCAGAAATCTCAATCACGCGATTTTCTGTATTCTTTTGTAATTTATACAACACCTCATTATTGGTGATCGAAAATATTTACTCTGACTCGCGGGAAATAAATGCCAAATCCAACTGCAGTACTGTATACTGTACTTTGCTGAATTGACTTCTTGAACTGATTTCGAGCATTGAGTAGATTAATTTAAATTCTTGTCCTTTCCTTTGCCCCATCTTGCGCGTCTGAACCAGCAAAAATGAAGAACCCAACATCAGCATGTGTGTATTTAATTAAAGATCGGATGATCCTTGTGTTTATCGTGGCTGCTGCAAGTTATTGGATCCTCTGCGAAGCTGTGGTGAGAAATCCCAAAAAATTCCCCTTTGAAAGATTTTATAAATGTTAGGGTTTTAATTTTCTTATTATTTGGACCCAAAATATTTTTCACAATGCTTGGAACAATTCAGTGTGTCCTTGATGAGCTTGTTTCGCTTACATGAAAAAATCAGAAGTGAAAGAAGAATCAGCTTACTCAAAATTAGTTTCCGAATCATAAGAAAAAAATTGAGAGCTGAAATTATAACTTGCTTAGAAAAAGGCGACACGCAATGCCCGTAAGCTGCAGTAGAATGCCTCAAATTCCGAAGAATCAGGAGACCTCAACTTGAAATCTGTGGAGGCACAACTTCCTAAATTTCCATGATTTCTAAAAAAAAAGCCCTTCATTTTCTCATATGCTTGAAATTGCTTTTTGATTATCAGTTTATAACAATTTTAAAGTATGAGTTAAATACTGTCCATCATGCCTGGATATTATCATGTGTTGTGCCATCTGAAAAATTCAAAATTGAAAAACAAAAATATCTTAATAGAAAAAGTTTTCTAAATGTTCAATTAAGAAGGGAAATATGAAAAACTGTATCTCAACTTAAATTCATGTAAGTTTCCATAAGTAAGTTAAGCTTTGGTTATACAATTTAATCACAAAGTCTTCCGAGGCTTGAAAAAAAAACAACTTAAAAACAACAAAATTAAGTTACTGATAAGTTATTTAGAAAATTCTGGACGACACTACTTCTACAGACTTCATGTAAAATGGCATGGCTTCGGAGAAAGAGTTGCGTCATGACGTCAGACAGAAATCCTCTTTTAACATTTGACTTTCTATCGGCTGGTATAAGTTCTTCAGAATTGCTGTGAGACCAATACTCTTTAACCAGAAGTAGATGATACTGTACAAAGTTTCTCAGCCGCATTTCGTAAGAATATGAGAGCAGATGCTTGTTATTATGCTCATCTTATATCAGGAAGCTACAGTAACAAATAAGCAGAATGTTTTCTTCTCGAAAATTAACTCACTATATCAAGTCTGGCAAAAGTGCAGCAGCAGATGTTAGCAGACGACGTCCAGATGGTGCAACAAGACTTTTAATGCATGTAGCCATTGTTACTTTTTCCGGATTTTTTTTCCTGAAACGCATTTCCGTCCTAATGATCAAATGCACGTTTTGCGGACGAAACTGAGAATTAATTTTCAGGATCCACTCAAATTTTCTTTGATCTTCGTCGTAAATTTAAGAATAACTTGAATTAGCTGGAGAGTGAAATACAGTATTTAATCTGAGGTATTTTTTACTTGCCTATTACGTGGAAATATCTGGAATTTTGACAACAATGGAATTTTAAAAATCATTGATCACACTGACCACGCTTTTCGGATGTCACATGGCAACCAGAAAGCTTACGAAACTGAAAATCATTGTGTTCGATATAAAGCTATATCCTGAATTCAAGAGGAGTTTCAAATGAACAGCAATATTAAATATTGAAGCGTATTATTGCTGAATTCATTTCGGCTTAGCAAGTTTTTTTTAGAGAATTATCTTACACTCAGACACGCAAGATGGGGCAAAGGAAAGGACAAGAATTTAAATTAATCCACTCAATGCTCGAAATCAGTTCAAGAAGTCGATTCACCGAGAGTACAGCAGTACTGCAGTTGAATTTGGAATTTGTTTCCCGCGAAAAAATATCAATCCCAAAATCCAAGGTGAATTTCAGGTACCTTTTGCACTAACAGATATCTACTTGTAGTAAGTTAAAAGTCTTTTCTATGAAGCTCACAAAGTCCGAATAATCGTCGTATGTAAGATGTAAAGTTGTGACTCGATTCGTCCTAAAAGTCGGTGGAAAGGTTGGGTTGTATTGAAATCAGAAGTTGGAAACATGGCTTGGATACAGGTAGTACCTTGCAATTCAACCTCCTGCAATTTGACCATCCCACAATTTGACTGTCAAATTTGCAGGGAGGTTCACTTGCAATTCAATCCTTGCCCTGCATTTTAACCTACTTTGGCAACTTTTTTTGCGTATTTTTTTACTTGAATTTTTAAACTTCATGGAGTACAGTTTCTCGCAATTTGACTGATTCGCAATTCAACCCTATACTCCGGCAATGGATTAGGGTCCAATTGCAAGGCACCACGTGTGTAAACATAGGTTGAATACGCATTCAAATGAATTCTTACTTTCCGGAAATCTCAATCACGCGATTTTCTGTAGTCTTTTGCAATTCATACAACGCCTCATTATTGGTGATCGAAAATATTTACTCTGACTCGCGGGAAATACTGTACGTCCCTCTAATGTAACATGAATCGGTTTATGTAAAAAAAAAAAAACCTTTGAGCAAGTTGAAGAACGCTGGTCTAATCCATTACACCGAAGCGATTCATATGATGCAGAAGAGAGAGAGAGAGAGAGAGAGAAAAAAAAAGAACGAAGTAAACGAGCATGTTTACACACAAACCCATACAATCCGGATTCCTTGAACTTCCATGTTTGACGAGTCACAGCCTCGACGACAGGCGACAACCATGTGTGTCACTTGTCATTTGGCTCCAGCAACTCTCAACACTCAACCTCAGTAACTGGGTGAAGGAGATGAGCCAGGTTTTAAGTGCAAACCACAATTCATTCCAGTAGAGCAGCTGGGTCTTCACGGAATATTGGTCGTTTTTACTTCTTGGGTTGTAGTCGTACACACATAAATTAATTTCTAGCCTACTAGGAACACAAATAGCACCGACGACGTTCAATAACCTAGGAGACGCTTCGACACCACTCTTTAGGGTTTTCATTCCCCTTTGAAAGATTTTATAAATGTTAGGGATTTTATTTTCTTATTATTTGGACCCCAATATTTTTCACAATGCTGGGAACAATTCAGTGTGTCCTTGTTGAGCTTGTTTCGCTTACATGAAAAAATAAGAAGTGGAAGAAGTATCAGCTTACTCAAAATTAGTTTCCGAATCATAAAAAAAAAAATTGAGAGCTGAAATTATAACTTGCTTAGAAAAAGGCGACACGCAATGCCCGTAAGCTGCAGTTGAATGCCTCAAATTCCGAAGAATCAGGAGACCTCAACTTGAAATCTGTGGAGGCAGAACTTCCTAAATTTCCATGATTTCTAAAAAAAAGCCCCTCATTTTCTCATATGCTTGAAATTGCTTTTTGATTATCAGTTTATAACAATTTTAAAGTACGTATGAGTTAAATACTGTAGTAGTACGGACCTATAATAGTACACAACACGGTAGACTTTTTAAGTTTTAACTTTTTGTTTTTATAGAATTATCTTTTTCAAAAGATTTACAAGTTAATTCTTCCCTTTATACTTTTTGACATAGAGTGGCTTTCTCACACAAAAAAGCTCGCTGAAGAATACTCAAGTCCCGGTAATATTTAAATATTCAAATTAATTTGATGGCTAACTTTTGTTCTTCCTCACCTGTGTGGAAAAGTAAGCTCATGCCTATTTCAGCTTATGAAATATGGTGAGAATGACATAATTTGCATTAGATCTTGTCATTTTGAACATGCCTCAACATTTTTAGTGGTGCCTGACTCTATTGAGGGCAATTAAGTCTGATGTTTCAGAAGCAACAGATTCTTTGTGTTTTTGCCAAGGATCAGTTTCTTTCCATGTTTCCCAGGCCTTTTTTTTTGAAGGAAGAGAAACTATTTATACTCTTCAAAAGATTTTGAATCACCTTTGTTTTGCTGTCAAACATTTTACTCCTTGCACCAGTGATTTATTGCTGCTGCAGAGTGAATTATTGCAGTGACAGCTGCATTGGCACAATTTTGTTCCCCTGCAACGAAGTTAATTTCGTACATCACCGTTAATACGCTTTCATTCGAAATTTTTTTGCATCACAAAAAAGAACATCACTCATAGAACAGCTATTTTCCTAAAAATAATTCCTCAATTCATGAACAAAACCTCAATATATAGACAAAAAGTGAAAAGATGGATGTATTCTTTGACATTGAAAGCTTGAACTCATTTTTTTCTGACTCAGCAGAAGCCTAAAACCCTTGGGGAGGTGTTTCTTCTCAGAGATTGCCATTTTTTTTTTCATCATTGAAAGAAATAATGTCTCCAAATCCGTTGCTTTTCTTAAGAAAATAGCGCATTATTTCTGCATGATTTTAAGGTGGATAACGCAGTTGAATCAAAAACCAAAGAACGGCGATTGGTGCCAGCAACATCACTTGGGGACTTTAGCGAATTCGACGAAGTTTCGCAAAATTATTCGTCGATCTTCCCGCTGAAATACGCCGCCAAAAAAGAAGAGCAAGAAGCGGCGGCGACTGCAACGAAAATAAGTCAGCAAACTCAGAGCAATGCTGGTCGCAAAGCTGTATTTGAGGTCATCACAAAACCCAACTACTTTTTCTTCGACGAGGATCCGACGATTGTGACAACGTCACCCGCAGTGATGCCAAAAACTACAACCACCCCTGCGAGAGTGCGAAATTCGTGGCGTCCATTGCCAACTGCGAGAGCGGATTTGTTGCCGCCGCCGCGAGGAACTGAAATTAACAAAGATCAAAATTTTCTTTCACCCTCCAGGTACTGTATGAGGTTTTTGTTTGATTTACTTTCTTCGTTTGCAAACATAAACTTTTGCGTGAAATATTTCCAACTCGACTGGCCTGAAGCAACTTTACTCAGCAGACTTCTGTAATCATGAGCTCTTTGGGTTTGCTGCTCGGGGTTCTTGCATTTATTTGTTTCAAGTCTGCTTGGCATCAACCCCGAAATTTCCTCACGAGATGCATAAATTTAATTAAACTGGCCATGATTTAAAAAAAATTCGAATGTTGTGCGTTAAAAAAAGACGTTATATCAAGTATACATTTGCCCAATATTAGTTGTTCACTTCCTCATAACATGCATGAAGGTACGTTTTTTTTTGCTTTTATTTTTCCTGTGTCAATAAAATACTATCCAGAAGACCTCTGAAAATTCGAGGTAAGGAGGTTTGAGAGGAAAAGCCTTCCAGTTTGAGAGGTTTTCAATGAATTTGTCTATAAGGAAATTCGGATGTGGTACATTGGAAGAAATTCGACTTGGAAAAGTAATCGACTCGAGGTGGTTGGAGTAATTGAATCCATCACATGTGTTGATGAGTAAATGACCTTGTACATTGCAGACGCAGGGACTCTTCGCCGGTGTACAACACCCGACAACGTCTCCAGCAGCAGCAGCAACAAACAATAGGAGTTCGACACAGACCGATTCAATCCCGCAGCGTGACGTCGTCGTCAGCATCGACACCAGTGACAGCCCGTCAGCGCAAGGCGTGTCCTCAGCCCGCGGGCATCTTCCCGCACCCAGAGGACTGCACCAAATTTCTCAACTGCGCCCACAATCGAGCCTTCGAGCAAAACTGCCCCCCGGGGCTTCATTTCAACCCCAGGGTCTCTGTTTGCGATTGGCCTTCGAGTGCCAAGTGCAAACCTGGGTTTATTGGCATCAGGGACGAACCGCCGCCGGCGAACGTGAGTCGACTGTGATATGTCCGTCCACATATATCCACTGCATACTCGGGGCTAATGTGATTTCCGATTCAGCAACGATAATCTCATTTACAAAATTTCATTTTCACGTGGTTTTGTAATTTTTGAATGAGACGGATCAGACATTGTCGAAACGCCGTTCAATTCGGATTATCACAAATAATGCCTGACCAATTTATATCTATGCATTTTTCAGGATTTCCTCGATGGCGCAGCAACCGACGAGTACCCAGCAATGTAAGAAAAAAAAACGCTTTTGCTATTCCATTTCGGACTCGAAACTGTGTGGACGCAGTAATTTATTTTATTGTTGCAACTGATTTCATTCATTTCTATCAACTTTCAACCTTAATCGATCTTATTAGTGTACAGTACTGAATGGTTCCAACGGATTGAAAAAAAGGCGATTCAGTTTATATAGTAGGTCTCCAAGTATCCAGGGATTTGTACTGGTGCCTGGGATAATACAATTTTATGAATAATCAGACACTTCTTAACAAAGTTCATTGATAAAAATTTCAGAAATGTCATAATACTGTACAGTACTAGATAATTCTCAGAATTATTCAAATCTCGAAATGCTGTAATCCACGTGACTAATCAGTTACAGTTCGCAATGAAGCGGGATAAGTTGACATTATATTCGGTACACAGATAATTTAGTTTTACGCGTTAAATCAAATTAATGACCGGATGAATCGAATTTGCATTCGTATTAGCCATGAAAATTGATATTCCTTTTTTTTGTGGCGTTCCAGGAGTCTCCCACAAACCACAGCTTTGTTATGACGTTTTTCGCTTCAATTTCACATTTCGCATTCTCGTTTCGTAATGACCGTTAGTTTATTATTATCAAGCAATTAGGACTGACTTAAGTCGTTGTAGACCTTGTGCAATGTCATAAAACTTTTGGACTACATATCAGCACATTTATCTTTTCGTATGAAGTCACGTTAGGTTACGGTTTTGAAGTGAAGTAGAATTCGTTTAGTGATTCGACTGATATGCCAACATCTATAGTTCTAAAATAAACCTATTTGATGCATTATTTGTGCTTCTCAGTGTTTGAAGAACTTTATTTTCATACAAAGGTTTGCTGTTCGACACGTAGATGTCAGCGTGAGTCACCTCAGAAGAACTTGTTTTGAAACAGATCAAATTTAAACAAATGAGACGTACGGCCATCAACAGTGAAACAACAATGTGGGATAAAGATAAACGGACTTCCCATTATATTTGCAGAGATTTGCGGATGCGAGGAAATCGACAAGAAGCAAATTTGCAAACGTATCCAAGCAGTCATTTCGCACCGAATCATCCCGACGGAGTCGTAATTTCGGGCCAAAATGAGCACAACAAGGATCAACAGCAATGGTTCAACAATGCAAATTTCAGGTCAGGGCGTCTGGCTTTGTCGTCTGCAAATGACCTCGAGAATGACAAAGTTTTCGGACCAGCAAAGGCCACTTCCAAGTTGCACGACTTGTGCCCCGAGGCGACGGGACTCTTCCCGCACAAACATGACTGTCACAGGTGGAAAAATATCTCCTCGCATTTTTTTATTACAGTATTACATATATAGGAACAAAAGCGTTCCCGAAACTAAAATATTTAAAAAAAAACATTACAGCCAATCGATCAGAATTTTACAATACAGTATAGTATTTCGATGGAAAAATTTCGGTGTTCAAAATATTTTGACGGCGGCTCATTCGTATTTCGTTTATCTCTGCCTCATTAATATCATTCTAAATGGATCAGTTTAGGAGAACTTCAACTTGAATTATTGCCTGAAAAGTTCGATTGGGTAGAATGCAATCAATTTACAATAGAATTCTGCCTACTTCGGACCATGATGAAGTGTCCTTCTTGTCGACCGAAAAATATAATATTACTGATGGATTTTATGATCAAAAAGAAAAACATTTCAGCTGTAAATAAAAGTCGGAATCACGTACACTTGGCACAGCAAATTGAGACAGACTCGATTCCAGACTGATCTGATCTAATTTAGCACGTCGAAAGAATGAAGTTCAAGTCGAATTTTCGAACAATATACATTACAGCAGTACAGTATATATAATGTAGCTTCAATTCTTTTTATTTTAGATTTGTAAATTGTTGGAACGGGAAGCCGCATATACACGCATGTGCTCCAGGAACAATGTTTCATCCCAGGCGAAAACTTTGCGATTTCCCGAGTTTGCAGTTTACGCTCTTATTTTTCGAGGCACCAACTCCTCAGCAACGGATCAACAGAATGTCTCGAATTGACAGTGAGATGAAGTTGATTATATATGCGAGGGTTGTTTCATAAGTTTTGAGACTTTTAAAATTAGATCCAACAAAGTTTCAGCAATTAAAAAAACATATTTTGTAATCGCAAAGCCACATCATTTGGCAACACTTCAGTGCTATTCAACATACTCTGCCAATTTCAATGCATTTTTTCATGCGTTAAATCCAACCATTGAAACAGTGCCAAAAGTCGAGTTCTGCTTGCTGATTAAAGACGACACCCTGTGACTTTTGGCTGTTCTTGACGGTGAAGAACTACCCGAAAAGGATTTATGTTGTGGACAGCAACAGCCTCATGAATTCCGCCATTTAAAGAGCAGCTTAATCGACTAACGGAAGTCAATTTTTGCCACTGTTTTGATCTTTGGGTTTAATACATGAAAAAATGCATTGCAAATGGCAGAGAGCATGTTGAACAGCATTGAAGTGTTGCCAAATTATGGGGTTATATGCGAGCAAAAAATAATTTGGTAATGGTTGAGCCTACATTGGATCTATTTCAAAAAGTCTCAGAACTCATGAGCCAAACCTCGTATTCTCATCATCGAAATCCAGTCCTTGGGGGTTTTCAATTGAAATTTAAAACGCTGATCATCATAAATTTCAGGCGAAAATCGCTGGAGACCGATTTTACCTCCTGATCACGATTCCAACAACGAAATCCTTCCCAGCAGCGAGTCCATCGATGCTGCTTCCTTTTCAAGGAATAATAGACCGCAAGATGCGCGCGACAAGTCACAGGGTTCTTCATTCAGGTCAGCCAGTGGATCTGGGATTTTCAGACCAGGTTTCATACAACCCCCGACAACAACAACAACAACGACGACGACGACAACAACAACGCCCAGAACCACAGTCACGACGACAGCAAGTACTCAAAGACCGCCTAGAACCCCCACAACGAAAAGCAGGAACTTCGTCGATGTGTGGAGAACGTTCACGGATATTCAACGAGCCACGCCGACAACAACATCGACTCATCGCAGCTCTATTATTCCTTCTCCAACAACAACAACGGCTAGTCCGTTGTTGTTGAAAGAAAGATCATCCAAACCAGAGAGGAAACAGGAAGAGAAGAAAGATAGCTTAGGAGTTCCCATATCCAGAAGAAGAACGCTTCCAGATAGCGGGCAAGCAGTTCGTTTGCGTGGTGGGAACGGACCCTGGGAAGGATATGTTCAGGTTGTTTTTCTTGCTCAATGTACTTTAATTATATACAGAGGCGGAAAATCGATCTTATGCTTCCAGATTTCTTTGAGTACTGATGAAGAAGAAGAGCTCGTTTGGAATGATTCATGCTTGAGGATCAGCATTGGAAATTTTCTCCCTTTTCTATAATATGTACACATGCAGCTTTTGAAGCTTTGGGTGATGAAAATTTGAACCCCGAAAATTCAAATCTCCCTAATTTGAATTTTTAAAAGTCCCTTTCTGAATTCCTTTCAAAACAAATGCATGAAAAACCTCAATAACTGAACGCGGCTTTTCCCCTCAAACCTCCAGAACTTGAATTTTCTGATGGTCTTTGACTAGTATTTTATACATGCATGAAAGATAAAACAAATACAAATTTAAAGTGCGTTTTCAAAGGAAGTGAACAACTATTTGGGCAAATGAACCCTTGCCTTCCTGTTATTGACTCATTAAAAAAAAGATTTGAGTCCCCAATTGCAATTTCCTATACCACTCTTCTTCCTTTCTCCCAACAATAATACATTTCAGAATAATACATTTATTAAAAGTAGCAAGGAACTCTGTTATCATTATCTAAAGCTTTGGAATGACAATGGCAGTTGAAATTATTTGATGAAAAATAAAAGTTTCTTTTTCTCCTAAGAACACTTCAGACACATTTTTACCTTCTGAAATACATTTTTATAATTTTCCTTTCTGAGAAACCTTTCCTCAAGTCCCCTAGTTTTATAATATTTTGATGACATTCAGCTATATCTGCTTCATAGGTGCTTAATTTAATTTTTGCAAGAAGTATCCATTTGTATACCTGCCATAAAGTCCATCAAGCACATTTGCCGGTCCTCAGAAAATTTTTTGGGGATTTGCCTGGGCTAGGATACATTTTATGGAAATTTGCTGGTCCTCAGGCCCAAAAAGGTTGGAACACTGTTAATGTGAAGCCATCTCCTGACCCCACTTTGTTGGCGGCGCGGTTTTTCATGACGCTAAACTAAACACATGATGTTTCGAGTTTGTTAGACCATGAGTTCATTTCTCTCAAAATTCGTTGAGTCTTCCGCAGATTTTCATTAATTTTGCAATCATTCAGGTATTTCAAGATGGAAACTGGGGCTCAGTTTGCGACTCCGACTGGTCCGGGCTTGAGGCTGATGTGGTTTGCAAGCAACTGGGATTTGAAAGGTGACTTATTCTAATTGTTCGGAGAGTTTAAATGGTATTTCGTTATTTTTTTTTTTAATTGTTTACTCAGGGGTGCTTCAAAAACGGTGAAAGGTGGACTGACTTTCATCAAGAAACCTATCGAAAGAAGTCACTTGACAAATGTCCAATGCCTGGGCAAAGAATCCTCCCTTCTCGAATGCGCCGTTCAGAAAGGATCGTTTTGTGCGGAGGAATCCGTCGTCGGAGTAATTTGTCGAAACAATTCAGCTTCAAGGTTTGAAAAAATAATTCAATATACAAGACTGTACAGCTGCCATTTAAATAATACATACCTTTTCTGCGTCGTCATTGTATAGGTGTAATGTCAACGAGATTCCGTTCAGAGGAACGTGTTTCGCTTTTCATTTGGACGTTGAGGTCACACATGAAGAAGCCATGATGCTTTGCCACGCAAAAGGCGGCCATCTTATTGACATTCACACGCAAGATGACAGCGACTTTTTGTCAGAATGGCTTCATCACTTCGGTAAGCATCTTCTCAATTATTAAATCCCACCGCTAATCCATCTCAAAGATCTCTTGCAAAGTTAGGATATGTTTGGAAAAATTTGTGCCAAAGAGCAATGAAACGAAAAGATCTAAACTTTGAATCAAGGTCAGAAGAGTCAAGAAAAAGTACAGTATTTTTTCTACCATGCAGCACGAAGTTTTGGCTGAAAAGAAAAATAATTTCACTCCGTGAAATTTCCTCCTGCATTACTCCTAACATGTTATTAAACCTGGAGATTTAAAAAAATGATTGGCATGTAGGATTTACTCTTCTCAGATTTTTTTTTCTGCTAGATGAAAAGGAACCCCCTGCTGTATGAGGGTTAAAGTTGAACAATTTAGGAAAAATAAGACGTTGGTCCTTCAAAAGTAGGTCACGTTTTTGCGAACTTCGTCTAGTGCTCTTCGATATTCAAATAATCTATGCAAGCAATCTGAACTCATCCAACAGGTGCCAATGGGCCGATCCATACTGGGGGTGTGCAAGGTGTAACCGCATCAAAGAGCTCTTTCTACTTGTGGGAACACTCAATCGCTCGATTCAACTTCGAAAAGTGGTGGCCTGGTGAGTGCTATAGCAGTTCCTGAAGTAACCTTGCTTTCATGGGGACACCAAGATACTGCGGTTCGAAATTACGATTTGTGACTCCATTTTGTTGCACCCGTTTTTGAAATTAATTTTAATGATGCCAATCGAGAAAATAATGATTCTTGCAATGACATTTTTCTCAACAAATACTCGAGCACACGATACATTTTTCTGATTTCAAAGAAAAAGAAAATGACTGTGCAGAAGAAAACCATGCGCAATATGCTCATTTGGCATGATATGAAAAGTAGCCCAAAAAGAAAAGCAAAAGCACATGTCTTACTTGCTGTATACTGAGCACAGATGATGAATTGAAAGAGAATCACAAAATTAGCCTGCTTTTGGATAATCAAGTAGAACACATTTTATGGGATTTTTTCTAAATTTTTGTGAATATACTGTATGACGTGCTAAATTTTGTTCAAGAGGAATCGCAATTTCGAAATTTAAATTGCTGGGTTATTATTCCATCACAGTTATGCTGGTAACGATTTTCCATGTTACGCTATATGATATGGGGAATCAAAGAATGTTTTTCCTTGCTGAGGATAAAAACAGGACAAAATGTAATAATTCAAAATACAAAACAAGGAAAACAAAAGGACATAGAGAAAATACTAGCCATACATAATTTCCATGCACAAATAAAGTAGACAGAAGCTTCTTCTAATTCTTCAATTTTTGCAAAGGCAAATAAACTAGGAGGCAGTTTCTTCTAATTCTTCACTTTTGCAATCAATGACAAACACGTGACAAATCGATTTCATTGGACTTCAAATATATTTTAAAATTTCCCTTAAACATTTTCCGAATTTTATTTCATCCTGGAAAAATAATTTTTCATCAAGCTCAAATTATTTAGAGTTAAGTATACAGTGTACTTGCGTAAGTTTGGTGTCCTACCACAGGACCAGTTATGTGAACAAAATAAAACAAACACGTTACTTAATCCGTCCTTGAGCGTAATTAGTTTCCTCAGACATTGAGTGATCTTCACCAAGTGAAGAAGGATGAAGGAATTACCCCAGCTGTCCTAGATAAAACGAAGATACGTCCAGCAGGAAACCCGTTAATCGATTCCTCGCGTTGGAAAATAACCCGCAAAAAATTTTCTTGAAAAGAAAAAGCCGCGATGTGACATCTCACTTTTTCCGCGTGCATTCTTTTTATTTTTATTTTTTCATTGTTGTCGCCACATTCAGGGTGGAATGAAGACAACCGTCGGGCACCTGACATTTCAGGGAACAGCCTCCAGTGCATTACGCTTCACAACGTCTTCTTCGACGGCGTGGAGCGAGTCGGAGCTGACTACTACTACTGGGAAGTTTCACCTTGCACGCGACGCATGCCGTTCGTCTGCGAGATGTCCCATAAAGACATCGGCGAGTTCATTTCCTCTTTCCTTATCGACTCGCGAAAACTTTGCTTTTCGGCACGGAGATGAATATCTGCTCTGTTGCCGGTCTTTCTGCGACGCTGTCTTTATGTTATGATGACGATGATGTGATCTTCCTCAGCAGTGCAGCGACGCGTGAAAAATGTGGGAATTTCCAGTAGCAAAATTCAGGATTATATCCTGGTAAAATAATAATAATCATTAGGGTGTTCACGATAGGCGATGTTCCATCATGAACTTGAAAGTCAAGCGTATCTTGGAAAGCCTGTTCCACATATTTACAGGGCTTTCAGAGTATATTACCGTACATGCAGTTGAACCTTGATTACTCGAGTCTCTCAAAATTGAATTTTTCTGAGGTGTTCTGAATAAAAAATATTTGAATAAAATATAACTAATTTTTTATTCAAATACTATGTTTTCAGGCTGCGTAGAAGGAAACGGACAGTCGTACAGAGGCAAAGCAGACGTTTCCCTTTCTGGAAAGCCCTGTTTGAACTGGAACAGCCCATCAGTCATGGTTATCCTGGGGAGGAATGCCTTGTCGGACCTGGGCCTGGGTGATCACAATCATTGCAGGAATCCTGATCGGGACGATGCTCCCTGGTGCTTCACACCCAACGGGAAATACGAGTTCTGCGATATCCCCTTGTGTCCCCCTCCGGAACCATCTCCAGGTAATAAAGCATTCTGCGTTTTATGCATATGGAGTATACGGTAATTCCTTTGATGAGTACCACATTATGTCCTTGAATTTACAAATACTTAGTTACAAATAATAGGTCAGCAATTCGCAAACTTGTCATCATCGTTTGAATTAAATTTCTGTTACGTGACTTGGAAAAGTAAATCTGCTGGGCTCACTTTGTAATTTCCGATCAACTTTAACGCACAGAAAATTTGATACAGGCGCATTTTAGGAATAATATTCTGATTAGCCAAATGTTTCCGATGCATTCAGTTTATTTCTTCAGTAAGCTCATGAATGAAGTTCTTCCCAGATGAAGATTTATTTGTAGATGCCATCGTATATTGGGTCTACTGTGCAAGAATTACGGTAATTCCTTTCTTGAAAGAACTTCATTTGTTCGAGGATATCTTTATTATGCTGGTACAGTATCTAAAATTTGAGCCAGACTCTGAATTTCGCGTGGAACTGTTTATCTTCTAACCCGAGCAAATAAGATACTTCTCTGTAACACTAATGCTGATGAATCACACCCGGTTCCTGGCACCAACGGCAAATTCCGTTTGGAATGCTACGAAAGCCTTTTCTTTGGTGTAGAATTTTATTCGAGTTTGTGGAATGTCGCAATATTTATGGAATGATTAAATCCTGATCCAACTCTTTACACAGTATTTTATAAATAATTTACCTGGTCCTTGCAGAGTAATGCATCGCAAAACATATTGAAACAAATTACCCAGCTGTACGAAATTTCGGGCTTTTTCTTGTACAAGCTTATTGAAAAAATAATAATAATAGTTGGGCCTGATTTTCATTTCTCTTCTTTTTCTGCGGCATCTGAAAAGATTTACACTCCTTCAGACGTCCACAGGAAACATCATTTATCCCTGCCAAGTGCGTAATCCTAGACTTTCAGAGAGGAATAGGCATTCGACTTCCAGGATTTTTTCCACGCTCTTTCTTTTTATCTTGGCATTGGACTACGACCCTGAAACACCAGTGATATATTTTACCATTTTATTTTCGAGAGAACCAGAGATTCTCGATAAGAAAAGCAAACCCCAATACGCGCTATAGCAGACAACTATTTTAACTTGAGATGTCTCTGAATCGAGGATGATTATTCACAAATTCACAAGTGATTTCAAAAATGTCGGGAAATTGTTATTCCAGATGCAGTGGAAATCAGCTTCAGATACAACAAGACATGCCCGAGGCAAAACCAGTTTCAATGTGATGCGAATCAATGCATCCTGACCGCATACGTGTGTGATGGTGAAGCCGTAAGTCAAATTGCTAAAAATTTTCTTTCAAACTATCACGATTAAACGTAAAAAAGCATGTTTTAGCTCAAATTCGTACGAATTTTCTTTTCATTCCAATGCAGCTAAACGAAATAACTTTGGAGGTTGCTCATACTGCTGAAGACCATTGTTTTAGCATTTCATGCTGTAATAAGACTAGTTTAAATCTGTACTTCCTTCTGTGATTCTGGAAATCTATTTTGCATTTTGATTTTGTTGTTTTTTTTGCTTGCATCAAATGATATCAAGATTAATACGGATGCCAAGAATATCGCTCTTGAAAGGATCTTTCAGAGTGCAGGCCATGACTTGTCTGATTTTCCCGTCCAATTATTTATTCACAAACATATGTTCCACACTGGAGATTCTGCTGTTCTTCGACTCGTATTTGCGATGAAAATTGCATTTTCTCATCATGATTAGAATTCTCCTCGTTGAGTTTCGTAATCGTACCTTTTTTTCTGCTTCGAACGCTTTAGCGATTCCGTCGGAGTAAATGTAATTTGAAACAGATGCGTAAACATTTCTGGAGAAAAAAAAATGCGTCGTTTACACGCATCAAATTTCGAGAGTGACGCAGAAACTCTGGAGATTCTGAACGCATTTTGCAATACTTACTCTGTGACTGCTGATGGAATGGACTGCGGGAGAAACTATAGAGTTCATACTTAGCGAGATTGCATGCATTTTTCATAAGGATTGCGACAATGGATTGGACGAGAAGTTCTGCACGGACTACATGCACGAGTTTGAAGAATCCGCTGGTCATCGCCTTTTGGGCAACGACGTGACCAAGTGGATGTTCATTGACAAGAAGACATGCGCCAGACGATGTGCCGAGGCCAAGAACTTCCTCTGCAGATCCTTCAGTTACAGGTGAATTGCTTGCCTTTTTCTTAATGATTTCGACGAGTGAAAGGAATAAGATTTTGCCGAATACTGTATGCTGTGCTTAAAAAAACCGCATGATTTCAAGAAAATTATAATTCCGCCAAAGCTGGTAGAATGCTTCGGAAAATAGAAGCAGACCGGTTTCAAGGCGTCAATTTTTTTTTTAAATCACTTATAACTTGTAACCTCAGGAATGAATCAAAAATACTGCGCAAATAGAAATTGAGGACATTTTTGTTTCCATCAGAGAACCAGAATCCAATTTTTTCCCGGTAGAATGAAAACTGATACCGTAATCAAGTTGGGAAAATATTTTACTTCAAGTGACCTTATGGTGGCAATAAATATGAATTCAGACTCACAACATAGGTCATCTTTATTGGGAAGTTTATGTATTGTCCTTCGTTGTTTTGAGGTTTCCAGGGATATTGCAACTGAAATGAAGATTTCGCCGATTTTGATGTTGATTTAACGTTTTCTGGTTTACAACGCTGTAAACAGAAGTTTTGAAAAGGTCTGCTGTAATTTGAAGAGGACTTTAAAAAAAAATGTTTCTTCCACAGCCCGCACACCGAAACGTGCATTCTGAGTGACCACAATGTGGCGACATCTGGTGGGAAAGTGCAGGACATCCGATATTCGTACTACGAAAGAAAATCTACTCAAATTGATTGTTCTAATTTACACGTCTGCACCAACGGAAAATGCATCAATCAGACACGGGTGAGAATAATTTCAAATTTCCTTATTACAAGGAATGGAATGTATGTCCATGTGATTTTCAGACCAAGGAAGACATATAGTTGTTCATTCTTCGCTTTCTGAAGCATCAGATATAGGTTTCACATACAGCATCATTGATGGATGAAACGACTTCAACTGCATCAATACAGTTGAACATCAATAACTCCAACCTAAATTTTGAAATTTTAACCAGTCATTTTCTGAATTCCCTTAGGAACAATAGATTGAAAACCTCCCTTCCTCGAAAGTTTTCCCCCTGGAAAATCAATTTTTTTTGTAGGCCTTGTATGTGGCTATGATTTTATTGACACCGGAAAGATAAAAGGAATGAAAATGTAACTTGATGTGTTTTTAAAGGAAGTAAAAAACTAATTGGGCAAAACAAACCCTTGCCTACAATAAGTTCAGCTTATTTACAAGCAATTCAAGGCCCAGAATATCATCATTTACAATTTCCTGAAATTCCTTTTTTACCTCGAAAAATTGTTTTTTTTCCTAACTCAGACTCGAATTTTTGGTCCCCTCAAGTTCAACTTAAACAGATTCCATTGTTTCATAAATAATCGTAAGTTATCAAATAAGCGTAACCCAGTTGACAAACCGTGAACTTGAATTGAGTTGATCAAAATCCAAATAAAAAACCTTTGAATCTGTGATGCAATAAGAAAAAGTTGTCAAGAAACTCACAAGCTGGCTCACGGAAGGTACAAGAAGGAAAAAGAGCCAGACGATGGATCAGTCGGAAAACGAGATCATTTTCCAATTTTTTGCCGCAATGTTTTTGAATTTCTCTAGAATTTGATGGAATTCTAGACTGTAAAGCCACATTAACTTATTCCCATTTTTCTAGGTATGTGATGGATACAAGGACTGCCACGACATGTCCGACGAAACCAGCTGCCCCGTACCGGAAGTCGCAGTAAAAATCGTCGGCGGACAAAGGCCAAATATCGGAAGAGTGCAATTAACCGGTGAGTGAGACACACACACAAAGAAAGAGACACACAAAAAGGTCATAAAACTGAATGTTTCGAGCAAACAAAAAAGGAAGGTTTCATCAACGACTGTAGTTCATTAAAGTTTACGACAGGGACGGAGTGATTTGCGACGACGAGTTCGGCCAACAAGACGCAGACGTGATTTGCAGACAAGCCGGATTCCCTTACGGTGCCCTGAAGGCAATTCCGGGCTCTGCTTTCGGCTCCGGAAACGGAAACATCCTGATGGACAATTTACGATGTTTGGGCAACGAAACGTCGGTGGGCGAGTGCAAGTTCAACGGATGGGGAGACCATGACTGCTCCCCATTGACGGTACTGTACATTGATTTTTTTTTTAATCATTGCAGTATATAAAGCAATCAACAACGACTTACAACGACTTTCGATACTGTGCAACGAAATCTGGCTGTGAAGAATTGTTTCCATGTCCAAGCTGAGAATTCATTCGAACGATACACTCTATATATTCAATGATATCGATCATGGAAAAAAGACTGGAACATGTTTTTCAGCATTTTTATCCGTTGAAGAAACAGTGTACAGTACTCTACTGTAGTAATAAGCCGAGTATTCTGGGGTACCAGTAAAGTACTTTACTGTGAAATCTTAATTTTGAAATCTTTTCTTCCATTAAAAAAATTTAATCGAACTGAATACAATTTGAAAGGGCGTGGCAGCAAAAATTCTACTTGGGAAAATTGTGACTTGGGGTTATTTTTGAGTTAGGGAAACAAGCGTTTCTGTTGTGGAAAACATAGAAGGATTTCATGAAATTTTAATTGATGATATCCTGGGTCTCGATGAATGGCTTCTTAAATTAGCTGACAGGATGCTGGACTTGGAGGCAGGGGTTCATTTGCCCAATTCTGTCTTTCACTTCCTTCTAAATAGAATCACTTCACATTTTGATTGCTTTTCTCTTTCCTGTGGCAAGAAACTGAAAGCCAAAGAGCCTCAAAAAAGTTGGCTTACACAGGTTTGAGAGAAAAGCCCTTTGAGATATGGAAGTTTTAATGCATTGTTACTAAGGGAATCCAGACCAGGACTTGAGAAAATTCGACTTATTGAACTCTTGATTATAGGGAGGTTCGAGATATGGATAGGTTCAACTGTGTGCTGATGATTACACACATCATAATAAAAAAAAAATCAAACATACAAGGCGTCTACTTTCCTTATTGTGCATTATGAATTTTCGAATTTTCACGCAGTAATTCAAATGACCAATAAGATGCATTTATGAAACGACACACAATATTATCAAAACACATGACTTGAATATTAATAAAAACATTTTATTGACACATTATCCAGCACTTGATATTACACTCCATCGATATACAGTATCTTCAAGGCGTCGTTTTGCAGAAGGAGCGCGTAAAATACGCGTTGATTTCGTGCAAAATGATTGACCCTGACTAGTACCAGTGTAGACTTCGAAACTCCGGCAGATTCCGAAGTTACCAGTAGGTTACCTTGAGGACTTGAACAGGGGGAAGCCTGCTAATAATGTTCAAAATTCAGCAGCTTTGATGTGCTTTTACATTTGCGATTTCCTCGGTCAAAACATAATCTGAAATGTTTGATGTCGGGATGAAATCAGTATCTCAATAATATTCCCACAGCAAGTAGCAGGTGTGGAGTGCAAAGTGGAAAACGACGGATGTGCGGAGTTTGAGTTCGAATGCAAAAGTTTGGAGTGCATCCCGATGGACTTCATTTGTGACCAGGTCAAGGACTGCAGTGACGGAAGTGACGAGCTGAAAGAAAATTGTGACGTGAGTCCATATTAATTACAACTTAAAAATTAAGATTTGCATTACGATGCGGCTAAATAAAACATCTCGTATATTCCTCGAAAATTACTCCATAAGACATGCGAGATGATACTTATTTCGAAACGCAGTCCAATTTTCTCGATTATAATAAAAAAAAAATGAAAAGAAAAATATCCTAACTTAAGACTCGATATACAGTAATTGGATTACAGTATTTAAAAATATGACCTAAATTATATCATCTCTCAAATATTTTTTTAAACCAACCTTTTGATACCGTGAGTGAAAAAAGGGAAAAAATCGTCAACTAACTCACAAACTCTAATTCAGACTATCAGAGATCTTCAGAAATTTCATGCCAGCTGGCAGTAAATTCAAATGTCTCAGAAATCAATCAATCTTTTAAGAATCGTCTATCTAAAACCATTCAAGTTTTCGGCTAGTAAGCAATGTAGAAAGTAAAAAATGATTCCAAATTTGCCGGAAAATTTTCAAGGTTTGCTTTCTTGGTAGAATAGGTAGAATAGAATGATTCGTAGGTGAAGTGGTTGAAAACAGGAAAATGTATTCGCATCTGCTAGCTCTGTGTGAAAAATATTTTTCAAACGTTCGTTTTGTATAAATTAAAAAAAGGTGTTGAAACCATTTCAAGCCACTCAAGGCGTATTTTTCGTGCGGAAATGAGACACCCTCTTATATATCCGTCCGCATTCCTCCGCTTTTTGCAAAATGAATGGGTGCTCTTTGTTTCAAGATACACCCAACGTGCTGTGTCAGGGAAAATATAGAATTTCCGTGCCTCAGACACACACACTGGTAAATTGAATATGACGAATGAGAAAGGCCTATATATATGGTGTACGATCAGAGACTATATGGAGGGGAAACGGTGTGAGTTGGGGCAGCACAAGATATGAAAGTGATTCACGTTTCAGACTCGGTGGTTTGAAGGGGGGCTTTTTTTTCTTTTCTTCTGGGTTTTCAACACTTATTTTCCTCATCCATCGCGTGATGCTGTTGAAGGCTCCACTGTCAGTTAGACTTATCGGCGGAACGGCGAACAAAAAGATTGGACGAGTGGAAGTCAGACGTCACGGTTTGTGGGGCACTATTTGCGACGACTCTTTCGACGACAATGACGCTAAGGTTCACGTTACATTCTGCGTTTTCCTTTTTTGTAGTGTGTGTGTGTGTGTGTGTGTGCACTTGGGCTCACTGCTCTTTTCATCGCTAAAATCCGAAGGTAATCTGCTCAATGATGGGCATCAGACAAGGCGGCAGATTTTTGCCGAAGACGGAGTCGACTTTTGGACCGGGAATCGGACCGATTTGGCTTGACGAACTGGAATGCAATGGTAAATAAAATTTACGGATCTTCTGTTTGGAAAAAAAAAATCACTGATTTCCTGCTGCTTTGGAAAATCAACGGCTTTTTTTTTAACTTTCGCTGCGAGAACAGTTGAGCAATGCCTGCAAACGGGTGGAAACAGTTTGCAAATCTCGACTTTGTTGAGTCAAATTCTTCTGTCTTGAAATTTTTTTTATTCGATACACTGTGATATGTCTGGAAAGTTTCCTTCACACTTGCTTTATTGATGGAAATGACCAGCGTGACCCATAATCAACTTCTAGATGAAGTTGCAGTATTTATTGCGGCATAATAACTGAAGTCGTGCATAAAACTTCGGGTTCTTTTCTTTGTAACAGTGAAGCATGATTAATTCTCAGTAATCAATATCCATCATTAATTCGATGGACTTCTGATGCGATGAATCACATTTCGCTACCCCCATAAAACTTCGAAAATTATTGATAATGCGTCTTACGTTATATATATTCCATAAACTGCAACTATTACGCTCACAGATTATTTCATTTTTCACTGACAAGACTTGGAAAAATGTTTTTTTATTGAATATCGTTGATTTTCTTGTAGCTAAAAATACTTTCGAACTATTCAAATCTCCAAAAATTATGCTGCGTTCATGCGCACACGATGATCAGACTATTATGCTTCGTAATTGAAAAAATCGGCGAATTACTGAATGTACGAGTACGTGGAATTACTCTCCTGAATTTAACCCCACAAAAATTTCGTTTATCTATTTACTTTTATATCATACGGATATAAACAATGTACTGTATAAGCATTTGTACATATTATTGAAGTTGCTTCGAGAGGTAAAAATATGCGTAACGCATGTTCAGGCAATATTATTAAGAGAAAAGACTCAGCATCATTTAAAATTTCCTGACATAAGAAACCCGTATTTACTTTCATTCAAATAATTGATCATCAAAGCTTGATATGAAAATCATTCTCACTTGGAATTTTCAAATGCTTCTATACTATAAGTACATTAATATTATGATTGTTTTTTGAGGGAGAACCAGTTTCCTGTGAGCATTTTGTCCTGTCAATATAGTATTTTGCGGGGCGAAGATGGCTGTCGTTTCTACAATGCCAGGGGGATTCAATCCAAGGGATAAAAACAGGCAGCACTTTGGATTATTTCTCCAGAATAAAAAGAAAATAATGCAGTTTTTCAAAGAGGCTTTTCCAAAGAGCCTGAAAATCTTAGGTTACATGTGTTGTAGAAAAAAAAAAGTGCGGAGGAGAAAAAAAATCGAGGTTCCTCGGTCCACCGAGCGCAACCCAGGAAACCGCGACGAAATCCTCTGCCGTGCGGAAATGATGTCTATCGACATCGAGAGGGGCGACATATAAACAATATATAAAAAAAATATACAAACAATATTTTTGTTTTTACGTATCGATTGCGGAAATCAATTTCGGTTATTTGTCAACATATTTTCATGATTGTCGCAGGTGAGGAAAGCAGTGTGGCTGAGTGCATCCACGAAGCTTGGGGCGCAGGCAATTGTCGACACGACGAGGACGTGGCTGTCGAGTGCTTCGACACCTCATCGGAACTTGTCACGGTACGTATATATCACGCCGACTTTCTAATCGATAATCGCTGATGAATATCATCGAAGTCCTTCGTTTGGTTGCAGCAATCGAAATCAGGATAGTATTTTATTTTTTCCCGAGACGTCGTATAGATAACAAGGATTGCGGATGAGTAAGAAACGGGTGATTTAATTAGGAACCAAAACCTTGTCATTAAAATGTTCAAGTTATAAATCCATTTCATAGCAAATAGATAAAATATGTGCTGAAAGTAATACAACTTGATTTTCATTAGCGAGTATTGTGTCATAAACATTCGTAAAAATCATCAATATGTATTACCGTTTTCGAAGGAATTTTAATCGTGAGAATCACCCTGCTAAAAACTGTTGAAAAATTATGATCACTGAAATGCCTTCCAATTGCTCAAACGTGAAACTCCCTGGATTGAAAGAAAATTCATCGCATTCATTGAATCTAATGATGATAAATAAGAATACTTGGTAAAGTTCTAGTTATTTAAATTCACTTCATCACTCAACGGTTCTTTGAGTTAGGTGGTGCGATTCAACTGCCAAAATAATATTTTTAAGCGTAAACTCCACTCCAAAAGAGGCTTCGGTCTTGAATAATTTAGCTTCATAAAAAGAGAGAAAAAGAACCCTTCAGCCGCTACATCTTAACTTAAATTCTGAGTACAAAATTCTTAAAACGGTTTTTCATGGCGAACTGAAGATTGATGAGAATTTTTTTTTCTCATTTCAGTCGACAGCAAACCCTTCGTCAGGACACGAGACACTTCTGCGACCTAGGCCCGCAATATTGCCAAACGTGTGCGGATTGCGAGATGTTGACGAGATTTCCGGCACAACATCTGCAAATCGACGAGGAAAAGTCATCGCTGGTAGGACCACGACTCCTGGGGCTCATCCTTGGCAGGTGAAAATAAAACAAAATTTAGCCCTGGAACAAGCGTTCTGATTCCAAAAATTATGTGAGAATCATTGTCTAGACTTCTAGAGAAACAAAGAACACGACTAAAAGTTCTCTAGAATTACCACTTCTCATCTATGTTGCCTACGTGAGGATGAATGATCAAGCGAATATTTCACTCTGCTTCTGAAATCATATTTCACAGTCGCCATCCACTTTCGGCGACTGTGTTCTTTTAATCAGTTATTTTAATCAGTTTTCCCTATAGCCATTTTAGGCCCACGGACCGGCAACATTTCTATAAAATTTTTCGCGGACCAGCAAATTCCCAAAAAGAATTTTCCTGAACAGCAAAGCTTCATAACATTTTTGCAGACTCAAAAACGTTTGCTTGAAAGACTTTGGCGGTAATTAAAAAGTTTATGCTTAAAAAATGTTTCAACAAGAAATGAAGCAGCTACAGTGGAATATGTCTTCAAAAATTCAAAAGTTATACTTGAAGAGAGGTTTCTTGGAATGACAAATTCCAAATAAATTATTTGAGCATGTGAAAACTTGTCTGAAGACTTACGCGGAGAAAGGCCACAAATTTCAACTTCCATTGTCTTTCTGAAATTTCAGATGAAGATAACCGACTTCATTGCTATATCTGATAAATTGATCATGCTGCAAATTTCCCGCGGACCAGCAAAAAACTTTTGGACCACGGGTTTGGGAATAATGATTTTAATCATTCCCCGTTTGATTGATTTTTTGAAAGTTATTTCAACCCTATAGAAGGAAACGCGGTAACATGTTTGGAAACTATTTTAGAAGTTATAGAAAAAGTATGGAAAGTCTTCGCGGTTCTTGTCGACTGGCGGAGGTCTTAAATCAAATCTTGGATGTTTTTCTATTTTTTCGAGCAAAAATTTTTTTCCCCTGGAATTAACTCGTCTTTGTTCGATGGAAACATTTTCATCAATATATTGTGCAAATAACTCATCCATTTCCATAGTCTAAATAGGTTCATTATTGTGTTCCTGTAAAACCTGTTTTACAGTGTGCTATCCTGCTGACTGCTTTGTCCTTCAGTCAACTCTTCTGCAGGTGTGTACTTAAAGACTTCTGCAAGATGGATAATCGTTGGAAACGACTTGAATTTTTGTTCATAGTCATACATGGAACCAGCCGACGGGAAAATTACTGTACTTGAATGAGACTATTTACAGTTCAATGCTTTTTGTTAGTTGTACAATGCATCAAGATATTAGGCGACGTGTATACCAGTTCGAGAGAGAAAAGCGAGCCCTACTGTCAAATAAACTTCTCCATTAGTTGAAATAGACCGAGCTTCAAAACTTCCATGACGAAACTAATCGTTACTTTATATCACCAACAACTCCCTGCTCTTGGTTTTTCCAACGCCCCGACGCCACTTGATTAAAAACAGCAGTTTGACGAAGCGAACAACCTAAAAAAACTTTAAAAAAAAGCGGAAGACGCGTATTTTGTCAAGAATCCATCAGGCAGATTTGTCTTTGATGCCTGTGTTTTTATTTTTCACGCTCTATGTAAGATAACTGCTAATTAATTTGCTCATCAGGCGAGTCTGCGGATCCGATCCGGAACGAAAAGCACTCATTGGTGCGGAGCCGTGATTGTGAGTCCAAATCACGTCATTACGGCTGCTCATTGCTTGGAAGATTACCCAAAGAAAGCGTATGTCATCAGAGTTGGCGACTACGACACTCAAGTAAGATGATGTACTGGATTAATTTATCTCATTTGTTCCACTAACATCGTTATGCATCGATGCCAAATCATCCGAAAGAAATCTAAGCGACTTTTCGGGACCTCAAGGTTTGATGAAAACTTGAATAGTTCGGAATTGAAAGCCATTGTTAAATCGTGAAGTTAGGATAAGTACGGTATTAGTATTTCAATCATCTTGGCCAATATTTGATAGATTCGCTCGAATCGCAATAAGATTGCTAAAACCTNCAAAACCTTGTCATTAAAATGTTCAAGTTATAAATCCATTTCATAGCAAATAGATAAAATATGTGCTGAAAGTAATACAACTTGATTTTCATTAGCGAGTATTGTGTCATAAACATTCGTAAAAATCATCAATATGTATTACCGTTTTCGAAGGAATTTTAATCGTGAGAATCACCCTGCTAAAAACTGTTGAAAAATTAAGATCACTGAAATGCCTTCCAACTGCTCAAACGTGAGCCTTCCTGGATTGAAAGAAAATTCATCGCATTCATTGAATCTAATGATGATTTTATTCTTATGAACCATTTCAAGATCAATAAATTTAAGTGAAGGAGTGAGTTGCCAAGAAACTCAATCCACCACGCTAAGTTGACGGTTTTATCATAAAAATTCGCATTTGAGGTGAGGTTTTCTCACTTCGGTCTTGAATAATTTAGCTTCATGAAAAGAAGGAAAAAGGACTTTTCAGCCGCTGCATTTTAAATTAAATTCTAAGTACAAAATTCTTAAAAAGGTTTTCCATGGCGAACTGAAGATTGATGAGATTTTTTTTTCTTATTTCAGTCGACGGCAAACCCTTCGTCAGGACACGAGACACTTCTGCGACCTCGGCCCGCAATATTGCCAAGCGTGTGCGGATTGCGAGATGTTGACGAGATTTCCGGCACAACATCTCCAAATCGACGAGGAAAAGTCATCGCTGGTAGGACCACGACTCCTGGGGCTCATCCTTGGCAGGTGAAAATCGAACAAAATTTAGCCCCTGAACAAGCATTCTGATTCCAAAAATTATGTGAGAATCATTGTCTAGACTTCTAGAGAAACAAAGAACACGACGAAACGTTCTCTAGAATTACCACTTCTCATCTATGTTGCCTACGTGAGGATGAATGATCAAGCGAATATTTCACTCTGCTTCTGAAATCATATTTCACAGTCGCCATCCACTTTCGGCGACTGTGTTATTTTAATCAGTTATTTTAATCAGTTTTCCCTATAGCCATTTTAGGCCCACGGACCGGCAAAATTTCTATAAAATTTTTGGCGGACCAGCAAATTCCCAAAAAGAATTTTCCTGAGCAGCAAAGTTTCATAACATTTTTGCAGACTCAAAAACGTTTGCTTGAAAGACTTTGGCGGTAATTAAAAAGTGTATGCTTTAAAAATGTTTCAACTTCCAATGAAGCATCTACAGTGGAATATGTCTTCAAAAATTCAAAAGTTATACTTGAAGAGAGGTTTCTTGGAATGAAAAATTCCAAATAAATTATTTGAGCATGTGAAAACTTGTCTGAAGACTTATGAGGAGATTGGAAACTTATTTTTCATCAGATATAAAGTAATTTCAACTTCTATACATTGTATCTCTGAAATTTCAGATGAAGATAACCGACTTCTTTGCTATATCTGATAAATTGATCATGCTGAAAATTTCCCGCGGACCAGCAAAAAAACTTTTGGACCACCGGTTTGGGAATTATGATTTTAATAATTCCCCTTTGATTGATTTTTTGAAAGTTGTTTCAAGCCAATAGAAAAAAACGCGGTAACATGTTTGGAAACTATTTTAGAAGTTATAGAGAAAGTTTGGAAAGTCTTGGCTGTTCTTGTCGACTGGCGGAGGTCTTAAATCAAATCTTGGATTTTTCTCTATTTTTCGAGCAAAAATGTTTTTCCCCCTGGAATTAACTCGTCTGTGTAAGTTCGATGGAAACCTTTTCATCAATATATTGTTCAAATAACTCATCCATTCCCATAGTCTAATTAGGTTCATTATATTGTATTCCCGTAAAACCTGTTTTACAGTGTGCTATTCTGCTGACTGCTTTGTCCTTCAGTCAACTCTTCTGCAGGTGTGTACTTAAAGACTTCTGCAAGATGGATAATCGTTGGAAACGACTTGAATTTTTGTTCATAGTCATACATGGAACCAGCCGACGGGATCGGGACCTCAAGGTTTGATGAAAACTTGAATAGTTCGGAATTGAAAGCCATTGTTAAATCGTGAAGTTAGGATAAGTACGGTATTAGTATTTCAATCATCTTGGCCAATATTTGATAGATTCGCTCGAATCGCAATAAGATTGCTAAAACCTGAATCAATAATTCCGAAAAGTCGCTTCGGTCTGCTGTATTGTCCATGAAGACGCAACCATAAGTTATCGAAAAAGAAATAAGACTGAAAATGCCACGGATTATTCAAAACTTGTGCGAAAAAGAAAAAAAAACTACGAATGGCCGTGCTCTATTTCAATTACCTAGAATTTAAATTCAGTAGCAAATCTGACCTCTGGCATGCTTTTACGTATTAACCAATTGACATGTAGTGGCAACCTTCATCATTATCACACGAATGTAAAGGACAAAACTATACTGATCATTTTGGATGTACAGTACTTTAATGGAAACAGATTAAAGTTAGCGAGACTTGGACACGAAAAATACGTAGGTATGTTTTCAAAAATTCTCAACTGCCCGAAAAATTGCGCAACTTCCAATCTTCCAATGGAGTATTTTCGATAATCACGATTTATTCATATATATCGAATGATTCTTGTTTTAATGGCATACTCAATTAATTTCAATCTAAATGAGCATCCTGAGCAGGGATTTTTTTATTGTCTAATTTTGTAATATAACGCTTTAATAATTATGCACTGTCATTGCACAATTGACTTTGAGATGCAACGCGCAAAAAAAAAATTAATATTAGCCTTTGAATATCGAAATCACTCGAAGAATTTTCTACAGGGCGCAGATATATTCCCTCCCGATGGAAAAAGAAATACTGTACAGTATACTGTGTAATTTCTTCGTTTTCTCCTTTATAAGGTGGAAGACCTTGAAGAACAAGAATTTCATATTGAGGAAATGTACACGCATGAGAAGAAACACGAAAGCATCAGATACAACAACGATGTTGCTCTCATCAAGCTCAAGTCCTCCAGGGAATCATTCGTCGGAGCAGCCATCAAATTTGGCACGAAGGTACAGGCGATTTGTCTGCCTGACCCTGGCTCAGCGGTGTATTCCCCTGGCCGGAATTGCACCTTATCTGGCTGGGGCAGCACTGGTGTCAGTGAGTTATTCCTTTCATTCTGATTTGCATCAGTTGTATTTTTCCTGATGAGACCAGGTGCAAAATTATACCCAAAAGGATATAAAAAAAAAATACTTATCCACTCTGACGCCCTTGTCTGACAGAGGGTTTCTTTCCATGGAGTTCCCATTATAGAAATCAAGTTAAACCAGTTGCTTATTCAGCTGTAGCAGGCAAGCATTTTAAAACACCTAGCTACAACATGTGACAAAAGTCCCAAGTAGGCGTAGCACGCTACACATGGCAGTTTGGGCATGAAAAACATTCGGCATGCATTTTGCTGTGTGCAATTATTTGCTGGGGAGTCAGGATTTTTTTCAAGGGTGAGGCACATTTCAGTTTGACCAAAGGTCTCTGAAATGCCCCCGGGCTAGGAAGGTCTAAGTCACAAAACATTATGGGTGGAGAATATAGATGGAGCCTCACAATTGGACATTCTGCAATTTGACTGTCCTGAAATTTGGTGGTGAAATTTTCTGGGAGGTTGACTTGAAAATTGACCTCTGCCTTGCAATTCAACATCCTTTAGCCCATTTTCTAGTGTTTTTTGTAGCTGTTCCTTAATTTTTCAAGGAGTCTTGCAATTTGACTAATTTGAAATTTGACCCTAGTATATATGGCAATGGATTAGGGGCAACATAATCCATAGATTGACCTTAGGAAAACCTTTTTGATCAATATACTGATTCTGCAAGCATTGAAACGCATTCAAAAGAATTTACTGTACATAGTGATCAATTACTAATTAACAATCAAATCTGTGGAACTCTGAAAGTTTCCTATATTACACTTAAATCAAAATTGAATACAATATTGTACTTTGATACGCTCCGGAAATCTGTAGAAAAAAAAAAAACGTATTCCAGGCTCTGATTTTTTCCTGAAGGGTTTGTGCGTCAGTTTCCTTCCAAAAATGTTTTTCGAACTCAAGGTTACGCCTTCAAGTTGCAATCCGCCACAGTGCCGATTTTAGCGGACTCGGCTTGCCGACAGCCAAATGTCTATGGAGATAGGATCACTACTGGAATGTTTTGCGCTGGCTTTCTTACTGGCGGAATCGATTCTTGCCAAGGTGATTCCGGTGGCCCACTGACGTGCGTCGATGACGGTTCGTTATTCTTATTCCTTTTTTTTTCTTTGCCCTTTGCACTGCGTTGATTAATTACTATTAAACCACTGTTTTTTCGGTTTCAGGAGTTCATTATCTGTACGGAATCATTAGCTGGGGTCATGGATGCGCCCAACCGAATCGGCCTGGGGTCTACACGAAAGTCACACATTATTTGGGCTGGATATTTGAGCATTTGAACCTATGAAAAACTG